AGAAGGGGGGAAGCCCCTTTCAAAAGAGAAATATTGTGTATAATTATATATATTGCTGTATATAAAATTATGCTTTTGATAGTAATAATGACACCATGCTTAAATGGTGCTTGTTATGCACACATCTCTGGTTTTGCTCATGTTTCAGATAAGTATTTTTCTTTTGTAGAGCATAGGCATACCTTCAGGCTCTTTATTTGAAGTATATCATCTTGAGTCGTTAGCATTTCAGAAATGTTTTTTTTATAATTGACATACAAGATTTTTATGATTGACAACTCGCCTGTGTGGAAGGTGTTCTACAGAAAATGGTGCTGTGCCTCTTTTGAAGGAGTGCCTGCAGGTAGAGGTGAGTGGTCAGTTGAAGGAACAACACAGTTCAGGAGGTCTAAAGCAATGGTCTAACAAACAAAAGCCGAAGTTTCAAAACCTGATCCTGCATTGGCCTCTGCATTGTCGGTTCTACTCTGTGTTAGTATTTTCATATATTAAGAGAAGACTCTGAAGGATGTTTGGGAATTACCATGTTTTTCACTACAGTGCTTTTTTTTGCCATATTGAAATCCTAGTTAAAGAGTCCTGTCTATTTTCTTGCCACAATAGACTATAAACATCTCCTTAAGAAAGATCTATGAATTTAACAGATTGTACTTTGACCTTCACAATCAGAATTAACATGCGTTATTAATTTCTTCAAGTCTAATTGCTCAGCTGAAACTCTGCTAAGTGAATAAGAGCTAAAGAAACAGCTGTGGGAGCTTCTGGGTGATTTTTGGACTCATATTTGCAAAAATACTCGTAACGTTCCATAGTCACCTTTAACATAGCAGCAGCATTTTCAGTTTTCTCTTTCATCTGTATTACTATATTTTATACCCTGACCTTTTGCTCTTCCTTTGCCTTTCTGAACCTACATATGAACTATTCTAAGCATGCTACAAAGTATTTAACATCCTTCAGTATTGTCTTTCACAATAGCACTGGCATACTAAGATTTAGTTTAGAAGTTTGTTGAAGCACAGGAGCATTTCTGTTCACTGTTTATTCAGATGCTTTCTATCCTGGCTGCTTGTGTCAAAACACAGGATTCTTTTTCATATTTCTGTTTTGCTTCTTTTCTTTGGAAGAACACAGGCAAGTAACATATTCAGGTTCTGCCCCAGAGTAGTTATAAACCAGGCACCTGTTTCTGAAAATAATCCACCCCTTCCCATATCCAAATTCATAGATAGCTCATCATGGACAATTTATTAAATGCATAAAGTACCCATTTCCTCTGTAACGTTTTTATATTGAATTTCTGCTGATTGTTCATTTTATTATATATTGGTCAATATTCTCCCTGCTGTCTGAGGAGCTCGTGTACAACCTAGTCATTACCATGCTTGTATCATTTTTTGTATTTATGCTTGCAGATTTCTTAAATGTGAAGGGTCCCAATCCTTCCATTGCACAGTTTGCATTATCACTTGTTACATGAATGCAGCCTATGTTAAAATCACCTAATACAATTATTCCTGACTATGCCCTAAAAGCCTGCAGATGTTTTCCCAATCTGCCTGTAATATTTATAGCTGATCCCTTTGCTCTGTAAACAGTGAGCAACCTGAGGTAAATTAACCCTAACAAACGCCTTAATTGTGAAAATCCTCAGACCTCTTTGGCTTGCTGAGATGGTGTGTGAGCGGAGGAAGGCTGTTACCATATATCATTTTCTTGTCTTTGTTGCAGCTTTACTTGCAAATACACATGTATTCTCTGAAAAATGTTTCATTGGATACTGTTTTTTCCTATTAGTTACTGGCTAAAATTTTGAATACCTTAAATTTATAATGTTTGATGTTTTAACTCCGTATGTGTTTGAGGCCTGATTTCCAAAGCTGTGCCTTGCCCATAATCTGAAATTCTGTGCTTGCTTCAGCCCCAAATTATGATAGTATGGATTTTCTTAATTGTTTCAGCATATCATTGCTTGATATTCATATTCATATTCAGAACAGTTGAAACAAACATAATCTTGGAAGAAAGTCCACAGAGAGTGAATGCATCCAGCTGAACACCCCACCTTTGCTGGCAGGGGAGCTGTAAAGCTTTTCCCACATCCAAGTCTCTTGCAGTTAGTGCTCCTGTTTTATTTCTGTGGCATTTGTCTTATTAAAAAATAAGCAATAATATACACAAAACAGTCCTCTGAAATATGCTGCTGTGCTGATTATCTTTTTTCTTACATTCCATGTTGGACACAATAGTGCCTTGTGTTTGCACAGTTGTGTAATTTTTGTTATATGCAATGAGAGTTCGTTTTCATAGTGACTGTGTGCAATAGCTGAATATGTGTGCTTATTATTATCATGTTGGGCTTTAATGGGCTGGTCTTACAAGTACTCTGCTTGCTCACTACCCTCCTCCTACCAAATTCTTGCAGGATCTGTAACCTACAAATATACAACAGCTTTAATAAAAATAGCAGTTTCTCACACAGAATATCACCACGTGCAGCTTAATTTTTCCTTTGAGAATTAATTGATGAGTGAATAAACAGATTCTTAATATTTAGAAAATGGGATTACACTATGAAATAGAAATGTGTTTGTGAGATCTGGGGAGAAATTACACTTGCAGTAGTTCTAACAATTTACCTCCATGTGCTAGTAGTAACTTTATGTGAATAAGAGCAGGAGAAGCAGTGGAGAGCAATAAATTCTTTAAAAGTCTGCCTGAGAGAAATATAGACTCTCTCAACTACTGGTATGGTCCCCATCATTGCACCATCGGAATGTTTCAGAATCTTTAGGAGATTTATTCTTGCAACATCCCTGTGAGGTGGGGAATTGCAGTTATATCCCTTCCACAGACTGAAATCAAAAAGCACAGGAAGTTTTCAAAGGTCAAAAAGAAAGTCTGGTGTGGAGCTGGGAATTAGGGGAGTTTTCAAGTTAAAGCCACTGTGTTGAGATCAGTATTATTGTATCCCTTGAAATGTTGTCTGCTTTCTGACTTGCACAGTGGCCCAGGCAGGTTCTGGTTTTGAAATGCTGTTGGTTTCATTCATTCTCAGTGCTCACTGATAATTAAATGAGAAGAAAGACTTGTTTAGAGTAAGTTATTTACAATATTTTTCTTTTTGTTATTTTGTGGGTGTCATTGATGAACACAGAGCTAATGTTAAAAAGCATTAACTGAAAACATTTTAATCTAAATCCTATCCTAAATTATAGTATAGTTTTCCCCCATAGCTCCTATGTAGTAAAGAATCACCTGTTCTGAGATAGTCTGATTTCACATGTATGTTAATTTTATTTTTACAACTAAGTTTTTTGTTAACAATAACATTAAATCATTTCACTTAAGCTGCTTATTTATTTTTAAAATGAATTCTTTGCTGGGTTACATAGGATGAATATTTCCTTCAGCTGTAGGAATAAAATAACTTCCTGCTGCCAATGTAGAATTCTGTGATAAATCTTCACCCTTTAGTAAGGAGATGCCATTCAGTGCAACATGTCTCTCAACCCAATGTATCATAAGCTGTCCTCCACAATGCCGTCCTCTTAAGAGGATGCAGGATGTAGGGAAGTGGGAAACCAAGGGAAAGGGTCAGGCGTGGGAGGTGGGACTGCTTTGCTGTCTTTTCTATAGACACATGAAACCTTGAGATTACGTTTCCCTGTGTTTGGCAGTGGATGTGTGTGATTTGTGCAGTGTGTGTCTTGTGTGTGTGTTAACCCAGACTGGAAGACCCAACCCTGCCTCTTACGTGCGGACTCCATCCTCACCTCTCCAAGGGGATTGTGTGTCAGTTTTGGCATAGCACAGACGCAGTGGATCTTGGCAGCTAAGACTGCCCCTTCCCCTTCCAAGCATTTTTATATAGGAAGAGGAGTGTGCTGGCCAATTTCAGAATTCTAGCACTGCTTTTAACTGTGAATTTCCAGAGTGCTTTCTGTCCATTTGTCAGTTTGGAGTTCAGTTAAATATTCATCCATGATGAATGAGCTGCACTTCTCAGGGATGTGTGGCTATTAGAGGCATTTAGGCTGACTTGAGAAAACTTGAATCTGAAGATGAGCTTTTTACCACATTGCTCAGTGTTTGGTACTCCCTGAAAATATCTTCTACGAAATGGTGAAGGGTAAGACAGGTGAGACCAAATATTTGTCTCCCTTTCAGAAGGAAGATGCTTTTAATCAGTGTCGTCTACAATTCTTTGTCTTCCCATTCTCACTCCCATGCTTCTTGGAGGGTGATTGATATGAAAAAGGAAGACCCGGAAAAATGTTTTCATTACAGTTTGGAGAGTTTTCAGTTGACAGTTTTTCAAAAATGTTGCTTTTGGAATTTTTGGCAGTGTTTAAGTTAGGGTGTTTTTATAATAATCATTGGAAAGTTTTATAGATCAGGTCTCATATTCGGAAATAAAAAAAAATAAATCAGAAGGTGAGAACTGAATCATCCAAGTTTTTTAAAACCTGGTTAGCAACTGTATATGTCATTGACTGGATGTAAATGGCAAATAGGTGATCTACACAAATACCAGTTAAATTTTGAATGGCTGACACACTAGATTGAGCACTGCCCACAAGTGCTTGTCTGTGAAGCTGAAGGCTGAGTGCCCTTTAAACATTTAACTTGGGTTATTTCGTTGCATTAATCCGTTCTCAGACATAATTAAACAGGTGATGAAAAACAAATTGTAAATAACATAGTTGTCCCTTGTGTTGGAAAGAATAATGCTCAATGGTATTCATTCACATAAGTAGAGGGAAACCGATTTGTGTATTTCCTATGCTTGAGCAGCTTAATACATGAGTTGTTGTGGTTCATCATTAACAATGTAGAAAAGACAGTGTGCTTTAAAATCTTAAATGGCAAGATATGCTTTGATAGAATGAGGCCAGCTCATAAAATTGAAAAGATAACATAATAAATATAATTTCAGAAACCTGAGCATGTCTACTACAGCTTTGCCCTCCTTCTGACTGTGGTGTTGATCTTGGCAGGCAGTAGGCTGTGATCGACAACTTGGGAGCAATGCCAAGGAAGACAACTGTGGAGTCTGTGCAGGAGATGGTTCTACATGCAGGCTTGTGAGGGGACAAGCTAAGGCACATGTCTCACCAGAAAAAAGTAGGTTGCAAACTGATCCTATTATAATGTATCCTTGACTGTGTTTTCTGCTTGTATATGAACGTACATATTGCAAGGTGACCTTTTAACTATATACTTGTTTGCAGTTTTCAAAGCTACTTATTCTAAAGTCTGTGCTAGATTAGTCTGTTGAAATTCCATGAGGGATACTACACATTAGAGTATAGCTAGGAAAGAATCTGAGATATGCAATTTTTTAATAGAGCTACTCAATTCATTCTATCAGGAATAACCATCAAGATGCACATCTTATTTTAGAGGGTATCCTTGTGTTGCAATATATGTGATACTGCAGCAATGTTTTTAAATGATGGAAACATCTTATAGATGGCTTTATGGAAATTGTGGCCCATGATTGAAAGTACATGGTTTTCAACTTAACTTTCTTTTTTTTAATTGTCTAAAGACAGTTGGACTTAAGAGGGAAGTTAACTACTTGTATGCTACGTAAAGCTCAAGGTGAAAGGGAGTCATACTCTCTTCTCTCTTTTGTGTGTTTGGCTTAAATTTTGCCACTCTTTCTCAAAATAACTAGCATCTTACTTTGAGTAACTTAAGGTGTCAGTAGTACTAAAAATATAAGAGAGGAGGGGTATCAGAATTAGATACTTTCCTGGAGTCCTAAGAGTGGCAATATCCAGGCAGGGTTTGTCATATAGAGGCTTGCCTCTGACACTTTACCCTCCCGGATGATGTTCCCTGTAGTCTCCCAGCATGTGTCCCATGTGTTTATCATGTGAGATAGTTGCCTCACATCAATTTTTTTCTGTTTCTGAACTCACGGTATGTATTTATCCTATGGATATGGAGCCTTTGGTGTTTGTCACCTTTCTCCAGAGCCACAAGATGCATGATGAGCTGGTGCTCTTAGAGTCGGTACTTAAAGATCGAATGCAAGCCACTATTTGGGTTTCTTAATGAATGAAGCACCTGCCTTTGACAGATGCACATATTTTAGTACTGTTGTAGTTCAGCCAGCAAAGAATGTAGTTCAGCAATTTATAAACTATTTTATCCTGAACACTGAGCAAATGTCTTGAAAGTTTACAATGAGAAGAAAACGAGTTTTCATGGAAGGCCACTTTTTATTCACTTTTTCACTCAGACTTTCTGGTCAGCACAGAGTAAGCACTTGTAAAGCAATAAAGTACCTCTTCCCCTTTCTCATCTGGTGGTCAGCTGGAACAGAAAGGAATTTCATTGTCTGTTCCAGTTTTACAACAACAGAGGTCCTCCTAGAGGATAATTCTTGAGGACACCCTAGCTATTTCTAAGGCAGCCCAAACTAAACTTGTTGGATTAGCAAACCTGGTTGGATAGCTCATGATAAGTGAAGTAAAAAGATTCACATTTTATTGCTGCTTAGTATGTAAGTATGGTAAAGACAAAGTGGTAACAGGGATCTGGTTTTGAAACTGTCATTGTGCAACAAGATATTAATTTCACCTGTGATACTCTGGCACAGTTAAGAGCTGACTACAGCTGACATCACTTGACGGAAGATCTCCCATTGCCTTTACCAAGTTATGAAGAATGCCCATGGCTGATTGTTTTCTCTGCCATAATTGGGTGTCTCTTTAAGAGTTCTTTAAAATTAAAGATGACGAAAGACTATTCTGGGGAAAGGTGTGTGTTATGTCAAGATTTGTTTTTACCTTGCATTGCAGAAGGGTATATTATATGAATGAATTCCATTCACATAAACAAAACAGTAAATACACTACTAAAATCAGAACTTTTATCTGTTTTCTTGGTATTGTGATAGTGCCAAAATCATTACTGGGTCAAGTTGTTCAACACTGTGGAAGCAGTTCCGTATAGTCATCCTCTGTGTGAATGAAATGTGGAAATAAAGACGTGCTTTCTTTGTGCTAATGTATCAGTGAAGAGAGACACAATATCTTCCAAGTAGTTATTTGGAAGCTTTTAGAACTAGTGTTGAGAAGTAAAATATCAACACAAGACAGACATGTATTTGAGAGGGAGCTTATAAGGTTGTGAGCAGGATGTAAATTTTATTTTGCAATGAAGCAAATTAAAGAATTGGAAGGAAAGCAAGCGCCAAAGATTTTATTATGAAAAAAAAAAGGAGACATAAGGGGAATTAAAAGTGCCTTGTTATCTTGGTCCTTAATTTAAGAAAAGAAATTTAGGCATCGATAGCAAATGATCTCTCATAAAGGACTCACTTCAGTTTATTATCTTTTTATATGTTTTTACAGTAAATGAATACCTTTTTGATTGAAAAGCTAAACAGCACTGAAAGAAAGATTACTGTTTTGCAAATATGAAATGAACTGTCATTTCAAAAGTTCTTTATTTTTTCCACTAACACTTAATTGCCTTTGAAAGACAAAGTAAGTTAGATTTCTGCCAGCAAGCCAAATTCTAACATTCTGGTAAAATGATTAAAGGTTTGACTAATGATATTCAAACAAAAAGTGTAATAGGTTGTAAAATGTACCATCCCACTGGGAAATGAGATATCACGGGCCTGATGTTTCTCGTACTTATAAGCATGGAACTCCCATTAACTCTACTGCACTTCGTGCACATGGAAAAATTGTAGGATTGGGCCCTGATGTCTGCTTTCTGCACCATTATTGGCAAGAAATGGTAGGAAAGTGTTCTGGTTCTGATACCAAGGAAGAAGAAAAGATGCTGGTTCTGAAATTAACAGGGAGTGAAGTTTAAGGTACAGACTTGTCCTAATCTGGTCTTACTTGATTCTTAAACTTTGTTTGATGCTTGCAGGTTTTACCTTTGTTAACTTTTGCTAAAAGCTTCATACAAAAGATTTCAGTGTTCATAGCTTTCTAACTGCTTGAATTTCTTCTTGCTGTGCATTTTATTTCCTATGGCACTTGGATATTGTACCACTGGTCACTTACTGTTACATGTTTGTACGTCATCATCCCCAAGCACACTTACCTAAAAACCTGATTTCAGTTTGGTCATTTATCTAAACAGAGGCTTTCTGCAAGGCTACCTATTCAGTATCATCAGCTGGCTCAGTTTTGTGACAACTTGCTACCTCGCAGCTTTTTCCCCTTTTGAAATCAATATACATGGAGCTAGTAACCCCCATTGTCAGGGTTACCTGATACTTCACTTTATGTGAATGACTGTTTGCCAAAATTCAACAGTTGGGTCAGCAACTTTCCATGTCAGGTGCTGAATGTTTTGGAGAAAATTCAGCCAAAACAACTCTGCATATTCCAAAGACACAGGAGAGAAAAACATGTTGTTTCCCACTGTCAAAACATTCCTGAAACCTTTTCTCTAATGTCTTAACATCCCCCATTGTTGGACTTGATCACAGATCAGGGATTTGAAATTTGGCAGGCAATGGTCTTCTGGTCATGGACAAGTCATTTGCCAATATCTGTGAACATCAACGCATATTTTACTACAATCCCTTCAAAAAAAAACCAACCCCCAAAACAAACCCCTTCTCCTTAAGGCTCTGTAGAGGCTTCTTGGATGTTAACAGCTGGCATTTCTGAAAACTTGTCCTTTTAAGTGTGTTTAGCTTTTTACAGATCCTAGCTGCAAACAAATCATATGTGTGCTGTCTTCACAGAATAAATTAACATGTTGCTCTTCCAGAGCTAAGCTTTTAAAAAGCATCCTTGATGTTGCCCTTGCTTTCTATTTGCTTCAGTGTAGAATGAGTACCATGGGATAAAGTCTATGATGCCTCCTGCCTCACTTTCAGGCATTACAGAAAAGATTTTGTGAAGATTTCCTGACTCTCCTGAGTTTCAGACTTATGAGTGGGGAAGGCAGATCACATGAGAAGAGGGAAAGACAAGACTAGCTGAAGAGAAAAAACTGACAGTTCATAGAGTGAAGACAGATTTGAGAAGATGTGAGGAGGACCTAGGACTGGCTGTACACTTACGTTGGGTCAAGAAAAATAGGAAGAGCGGAAGACTGAGATTAGATAAGGAATCTAGAGTGGGAGATGGAGTGAGAAACACTTGGAGAGGAAGGAGAAAAATTGACGGTATGTAGAGCCAGGAGAGGGAATTGGGACTGATTTGGCAGGAAAACTGTGTGTGGGGAGGGATAGAATGCCAATACTTTAGCATTTCAGTTTGGAGTATGTTTTTTTGAAGCAAATTTCATCATGGTCCTAACATGCTGCTCATGGAGCTCACATCGTAGAGTGGTCTTCAGGAACATAAACTGGATCTTTGTTGGATGAAGCTAAACTGGAAGGTGTGCCCCAGAAAAGCACCTAATGTTCTCCAGCAGCTACTGAATATGTAGTCCATGGGATCAGACTAGAGTTGCTCCAAGGTGAAGCACCTGCAGTGTTTATAGTGTGAATGCTGGTTCTTCAGCACCAGCTATTTCAGTTTACAGATTGTTTAGTTTGGTTGCTTTACTTGGAAATGTTATCGGTAGCGTGAAATCTTCATCATGACTTTCCTGATCTCTCTTGTCTGTCTTGGTGATATTACTGTGTAAGAACATTGTCTATTTCATTGTTTACGTCACACTGCACTTCCTCGAGATGCATTTACTTGAAAGGCTGCTTACTGTGTGTCTTTGAACATTTTCTCCTGTGCGAACAAATTTTAGAAGACGTGTCCGGAAATAGAAGAAGTATGTAACCAAACTGAGTTGTGCTCACACTGTCTCAAGCAGGTTACCGCACCTTAGAAACACCCAGCAGTGCAAAGAAATGGCACTCTCAGATGAAGAGACAGCTTTGCGTGGTAAAATCAGTGGACAAGAAGGATGAACGTCCAGAGGAGTGGGAGAGTGTGAGACTGAAGAGGGAAGGACTCAAGAAGAGAAAGGATGTGCTAATACAGATTTTTGCAATGTGGCTTTTAGGGACAAAGTAGCCCACACTGATCTGCTTCAGGTGTCTCTTAAAGATTGCATATATTGCTTTGCTCAGATTCTTCTTATAAGGCAGGTCAGCACATACCCCACACAAATGGCTTCTGAAATTGTGCCTAATGTTAGAGTGGATGGTGGAAGCCACCCCAGTAAGACTGCAAGCAATTTGAGCTTTTTTTGTTTCCCCTGTGCTGATAGTTGTTCCTGGACTATTGTTCTCTGTGTTTTGAGAGCACATAGGTCTTCAGTCAGAATCAGAGGACCAGCAGATAAGTGCTGAGCAAATACATGGAAAGAAACAGTTTTTATAGGCCTGAAATAAACCCTCTGCCCTGCTGTAAGAGGAGAGAGGGAAAAATCCCAACTGGCCCATATGTGAAACAGTAAATGGGTCCACCATGGCCCACATGGAAAAATAAATAAAACCTGCTGAATTGGATTGAACTCAGGAATGTGGCTCTTTTATTTTGATCCTGGGGATTAGCTCCCAGTCTTACCATAGCAGGGAGTCTGATCTTGCTCTCGTTGAAATCCAAAATCTAAATCCACATTAACACCATAGAAACAGGATCAAACCTTGCCATCTAGAGTAAAAGCAATCCAGGAGCTTAATCTGCAAGTGCTTTGTGTAGTGTCTGCACACTTGTTTGCTGAGAGAGTCCCTATGTAAGAGCAGGAAGCCCATTTCAAGCAGGTGCTGGAGAAAGATGACCCACATGCCCTCAGGAGTCCGTACAGTGAAAGCAGTGTTAGAATAAAGAGACAGTATCTCACCTGTTTCTTGGTTTTTAAGGTGAGATTTATGACTCTCAAAACGTATTTTATGGTCTAGTGTTTCTGCATATTCCAGATGATTTGGGGATTATTTGTTTTCAGCTTTAGACAAAGGTTGCACTTAACTTCCAAAGATACATAAATAGTATGAGGCGGAGGAAGATAATTGGAAATTCTAAGTATAGGTTTCAGAACAGCAATTTACCCTTTCATTTTCATAAGAGTTCACTGCTTTTGACAGTGTAGATCCTACTGATTTAATGGGAAATGTACAACATAACCATTTTTGAATGGGTTTACAGGACCTTGTGCTCCTTTAAGAATATGAATTATGTGCTTCAACTGAGAACCAGCGACCTCTGGAATATAAGGTTTTGGAGCCAGACCTGGACAATTGTAACTACTGTTTCATAGGAATTTAAAGCTGTCCTTGGGAGAAGGTGGAGTCCCTGAGATCATTCTGCCCATTTTCTTCCAATTCTCCATCTCAGTTCAGAATTCCAAAAATCTCACTTTCATTTTTTCCTATAATTAACTTCATCTCATGGAAGGATAGAGCAAGGTCATAATTATCTCAGTCAGGTTACAAGAATCTTTTGTCTGCTTTTAGACTTCTTGACAGGTCTGCGGGGGTGCAGAGGTTGAACCTTGCTGTGGTGGTGAGCTTAGTCATCTCCTCTAATGCAAATAAAATACTTTCTGGTAATATTGTCTCTGCCGCAGAGAAACACCAAATTTAGCACCCCCGTGAGACTTTTGGACCATATCAGAGAGTGCTTCGGTGAGGGTGGAATGTCTGTAGTATTATTAAAGGAATGTGAAGCATCCTGAAAAGGGATCAACAAGGCCTGCTGAGGCGAGCGGGGCTTGCTGTAAGGAGGTGGAGGAAGCAAAGCAGAACGACCCTGGTTGTTCTCAAGAGGAGCAGTCCTACACATCTCTGCACATCTGCAAATCCCAGCCTCATCCGCTCAGCACGGAGTGCCCTTGGTTCCACTTCAAAACAGCAGTTGCTTTATTCAGAGCTGGTCACAAACAGACTCTTATTTGAGGTTTTGTGCTGTAACTGCTGGTTGGTTGTCAAGACTGGATACAATTCCTGACCAAGTAGGGACAGATGGGCCCCTCAAACCTGCTTTCTCTCAAATACTGTACAGCACATGAATTCAGTAGTTATTTCCTTACTTTAAAGATACACACATCCACTACCTTCTGGCTATCTTTAGCAATTCGGCTGATGAAAAACCAAGATGCAAAAAGATATTAAGTGGTTCAGTAGTTAATGTTTTTTCCAGGGCTCCATAGCTGTGTTATTGTTCTTACTGTAGTATTTTTCACTCTGGTGGAATACCCAAGTATGAAATTAATAAAGATCATATTTTATTACATCCAAAATAAATTGTTATATTTAAATGTCTTTCCTAGAAATTGGCGATATAAAAACTGTAACATAAGAAGGTGTTTATTTCAGAAAAAATAATTGCAGCATTTGCTTGAAGTATCCTGAACATTTGGCAGGATTTCATACTTATGCTAAGGAGATGTAAACCAGAAGCTGATAATTTAGCATCTACTATAAAAGGGTCTGGTTTAAAGTGGAAAGAAACATTCTTCAACTAATTTTTAGTTAAAACTAAACTCAAGTATTCTTCCTTTAAATATTGTGTGAGTAGTTCTGGAGCCAATGCATCACTGACCTTCAACTCGCATTACTTTTTGAATATGCAGAACTAAAGTTCTTCTACACCAGCCCCTATGTGTGTTAATGCTGTCACTGAACAGGACACCCTCTGTGGGGTGTACCTGCAATGGGCCCGTGTTTACAGGTCTTGCCTCAAAGAAGATTTGCAGCTAGAAATGGAGACAGCAAGTTGGCACTTCATTGTTTGGACACTTCTCTTGTTCTTTTGTAGGTACTACTTTTGTGCACTGTGCATACCTTTTTCTGAGAGCACTGCTCTTGCTGGCATGAAAGACTCTGGTCTATTGATTCATGTGTTAACTCAGTTAGCTTGGGCAAATCACAGATTTCCTACAGTTGAAATGGAAAGTAATAACTTTTTGCCTTTGTAAAATACACTGAAGTAAGTGTGTTGAACGTTTATATATGAAGAGACCATTCAGGCAGCCAAAAGCTGTTTTGTATTGACATGTCCTATTCAGCACTGGTTTGTTTTATAGTTCATTTTAAATTGAGGCTCTTACTGGAAGGAATGATCTTATATTGTAAGTTAGATGCAGACACTCTGTTATACCATACACGTTATAGCTAAAATATATTTGCTCTTAAGTGGTCTGTAATTGGTTAAGGGTTAGTGTTAAGTAGATGATTTATTTCCTGTAAGTCCTGCCACTTATTAAAGTTGTGACCTGCAGCAGGAAATGAGGTGTGGGCAAAATGAAACTGAACAGCTGCAGATTTTTGTAAGGGGGAAGTACTACTTAGCAGATTCCTTATGTCAATTCAGTGATTAGGAAATAAAACTAGAACAACAGAGTGTAAATATGTTCCTAATACACTACTGACATTTCAGTTGTTTTTGTTAATAGCAAATAATTTTTGAATAGCAAGAAAGATTTACAAGTCCATTCGTAGCTCTTAATAGTTGTATGGCATAGCAAACAGACTCAATATACTGTACTTAATAAAATAACATGATTATTTTTAATAGAAAAATTGTGAAACCTGTTAAATATTTTCTTAGACACATTTGACAGTTTTCCATCAAGTTATGTGATGTGCAAATTCCCTGCTGCAAGATAACTTCTGAAACAGTTCTTTAATTTTCCTAGGGGAAGAAACTGTGATTGCTGTACCACATGGGAGTCGCAGTGTGAGAATTACCCTGAAAGGACCAGCACACCTTGGTATGACTGAGCTGTTTTATGTATTTATTCATAGACAGAAGGTAAAAACAGAACCTTGTATTTGAACTCATGCAAACTTTGGGAGCACATAGTGACCTTGATTCCTCTTCCCATCTTTAATATCCATCCTGTAGATAGTCCTAGAGAACACTGGAAGTCCACTTAGTAAAAAGCAATTGCGCACTTACTGGTGGTTTCTAAATTTATGTAAACCAAGTAATTCTTAACATGTCTACAAGACATCTAGAATACAGTACACTCTTAAACTACATGCAAACAATTACATGAAAATTACTTTCAAAGGCTGTGTGTGGTATTGATAGCACTTGTGTAACCCAGCGCCAGATTTCGGTTGAAGAGATAGCATAAATAGTCCAGTTGAAGTCACACTTGGTCAGTGAGCAGTGTTCCAGGAAAAGCAGTCTAGGTAAAAATGAGGTAAGATATTTTTTAAATGAAATAAACCGCACAAGTCCTGTTTCCATGTAATGGTTTTGGTCATTACATACAATCTGTGAAAGACAGTGCTCTTCTCTCAGACATTCATTTCCTAATATTTTTTACAAGGCTGATAGTAGTATCTGTAGTAATTTCTTTACCTATAGGCCTACTTTACATAAGGACCTAATCTTTTCAATGATAAGTGGTACTGCCATAGCAAGCAATGAAATACACCATTCCTTAACATTTTGAGCAATTTTTTACCAGTAGAAGTGGAAGACTTAGTCTGAATCATAGAAATAAAAAGGACTTCTACTGCTCAGAGGTATGTAAATAGAAGACAGAAATACATTTTATTGGAAAATTGCTTATCTATTTGTTTGCTTTGAATGTACACTTGTTTTCTTTCAAAGAAGATTTTGAAGACTTTCATTTTAGAGAAGCTCCGGAAGGACAGTAATTTATGGCATTGATATCGACAAAGCTGAACTTATCTTGAAATAAATAATATTCATGTAAAACTATTGCAAGGGGTGTATGAATGAGTGATCCTGACCAGTTCAGCTCAGGACTCTTGGTCTTTCTTAAGTAGTTCTGCAGAAAGAAGTTGTTGATTTAGCTTTGTATAAGGAAAAAGAACTAGATTCAGTGGCTCCTGGGGGATTTCTGGAAAGCTCCTGAGGAATGCAGCAGCAGCTCTGTAGCTAAGTACAGAGTGCTCCTGGCTTCCTACCCAGGGTGGTTCCGTCAAGAAGCTGTGGCTTGGCATTACCTTTGTTAGCTAGTTCTCTTGCTGGATGAGAATTGTGAAATGTTCCTTTAACCACTTCCCCCAGCACATCTGTTTGCAAAGCTGGGAGGATTTAGACATTTGTTACCTAAAATTTAAAACTAAAAACGCAGAGGTGAAAAACAAGTGAGAGCTGTTGTGGGGAGGGAGGTGGAAAGAGTTTCTGGCTTCATAGAAGATGGATCTTCAAGAACTGATGTTCTAGAGGATGTGCCTCAGGAAAATTTGCTTGTCTGCCTTTCTGACTGTATGTATGTTTGTGGATGTTTGTCACTTAACAGAAAATATCAAGTGATCTTTTTTCTGAAGCTTCATTGAGTTCTGTGTGGGTGTGCTGGCATAATTAAAGGCAGAATTTAAAAAATAGTCATCTCTAATTACAGGCTCCATTTGTCAGAGACTTTCTTCCTGGCTTGGAAGGAGCTGAATTTAACAGGTGGAGCACGCACTACTTATTGTAGAATTTTATACTGCCTCCTGTTGCCAGTATATATTTGCTCTTCAAGTAAAGTCAGCAGCTCAAACACTCGAAGAGCACGATGGAGTGCCTGGCACTTTTCCCTTTATCTTGTATTCTTTTGTGCTTCATCCTGGGCTTTATGGTCTGCACTTGTTCCAGGAAAACACAGCTGCTGGATTAATCAAAAATGGAAATGTGGTTGGAGATGTAGCACATAACAGATTTGAAACAAATAAATGCTCTGAACATTGTTTTACAATCAGCAGCTTAGTGTTTTAGGAAAGACTACATTTGTTTGTAGCCGGTAAGAGTAAGTATTTTGTTTGTGTATACTGGCACCTTAAGAGAAGCAACAGATTTATCAGAGAGCAAAGGCATTACTCTGGGTTTTTTTTTACGCACAGATCCCTCTTGTACCACTTTCTGCTTGGGTTTTGTGAGTGATTTGCTGGGAAATAACCAAGTAATGAGTACAAAAATGGTTATGAATAAAATGTTTCATTGTGTTGGTTTTCGTTTTGATTTGGACTATATTACGGCTTTTCTAGCAGTTGTTTTAAGAGCATTAGAATCAAAAGAAAGACTGAAAGTTCCCTGAAATTAATCCTCCAGCAGAAGAAACAGGAAAACCAGAAGCTAATATTTTTACAAGTGGCTAATGCTAGATAACTGAGTTCATGAACTTAGGGAGGTTAGCTTCACTAAAAGGAACTGAAACTTTTTTCCCTTCTTGTCAATATCTGAGCTGCTTGCAGTGGTTTGTATTACTGACAGTGTTTAGTTATTCATCTGTGCACTGCTTTGTCTTTTGAGGAAGACAGTGTTGCTTGCATTTAGAAAAGATGTATTTTGAGTCCCTGTAATGTTCTATCTACAAATGAATCACATAGGAAAGAGCGAGCTTCTGGTTAGCAACATGATTTGCTCCTTCTTGCCCTGGGAGCAGCAGCTATTGCCCTGGGAATTCTTCCATGCACCTCTCTACACAGTGAGGTATCTTGCAGTGGGTTCCCCATGCCATGCTACCCTACTCCTGCCTGCCACTAAGAGTATGGAAGGCTTTTGTGCTGGGTCTTCCATCCCCAACTGGGCAAGGCATTTCCATGGGGAAAATATTCTGTATCAAGGTGATGGAAATAACACAAAAGCAGAGAGCTATAGGTCTTTGGCACCAGTGATTATCTTGCTAGGCACAGAAACAGGTGAGCACTTGAGAGAATTCCCTCTCCTTATGACTCTGCATATCTGGAGTCCTAAAGACCCCACAAGGAAACTTAGGGGGAGAAGCTTACTTCTGAAGTCAAACTTCCAACCTCTCAAGGTTACAGGGCCCTGCAGAACAAATAAACATTTGGTCAGTCCTTTTCTAAACCTACCCTATAAGCCAGTTGGTGAAACCCTTGTTCCCAGTTACTGCTCTGATATTAATGAAGTAGTTTTTGTAGGGAGAACTATTCCCGAATAGGAATTCTTCTGTTATGCATGTGTTACACTAGATGCTTGGTTTCACTCTGTTTTAGAAGCCTGTGATGAGAAACACTAGATACTACTCAGCAGGAATACATTGCCTGAGAGGTTATCTGTTGTGCTGTGGAATAGCTCTTCATCTCCCTGTGTGACACACTTCTGGAAAAAGCTGAGCAGCTGCTCTAAGCTTCACTGACATGACCTCCAGAGATACAGTCCATCCCTCTAGAGCTGGACCTTGCAAATAAACACATGCTTTGGATTAACATTTAGCGTAACACTAACGTAAATGTGTATGAGCTCTCACTGAGTTATCTTGTGGTTGGTTGCTGAACAGTATTCCTGGTTTGTGCTTAGAAACACATAAAAATTATATTTTAATGAAGAAACATAGCATAAAGACTGCAAAGTAATGCATCTCAGGTCACCAGATTAACATCTTTAAATTCTTGCAACAGCTGGATGTCTTGCTTTGCAATTTTAAATGCTAGTTTCAAAGGGTTCCTCTACCCCAGAGGATCCTACTGACTTTATGTGGAGTTGGAAGTACTTGAGATTTGTGGATTTGACTCTTATTCAACAAAATGACAGAATAACAGGCACCATGCATTAATACTTACTGTTAAGCAGTGTAAGTTTGGGGTCAAGACTTGAGGAAGCTTTATCCAAGAATGCTGAGTTCAGATATTTAAGAAGTTATTTTGTAATGCAGTCAGGAAAGAAAACGTCTATAAGTGACAAACAAAAATATGTAGTAATTGTCTAAATACTGTTGTTTTTTTCTGGCATTTGTTTACCTCAGTTTGTTCCTAATGGAAATGCATTGGACAATGGGGTTCCCAGAGACTTATTTTTTGTCTTTGACAAAGAACATTTGATTCACCACGAGATTCTTACCTTATGATTACCTTAAAGTCATTTTTCTAGAACCATCGTTGCTTAAACTTCCTTCCAGCCATGTATGTGACCTTTGTTATGCCTTTGAACATAGTGGAACCAAATGCTTAGAAACTTGGAATAATACTGGTACCTTTTAAAGGAAATTGATTTCTTCTAGAATTTCTTCACTCTGCTGGGGATGCTCCAGAATGCATTTTTATTTAAAAAACCTTAAGGAAGAAAACAGTAATGATGGATTGCGGCATTCAGAATATGTTTTCAGTGCAGGTAAACCTAGATGCTCTTAACCTAAATTGTCTAGCCTGAATTAGGTAACTCTGTTTAAAGTACCAAAAAAGGGAAGACAGTTGGAGAAAGAAGGTATTTATAGCTCACCAAAAGGTTCCTTTTAGCTAGCCTTGAGCTCATCTGAGATTCATGCTTGCCTCATGCAGTCCTCTGATTGTAACCAGACCAGTGTATTTCAACTCATGCATCTTGCTGTGCCTATGTGCAGCATTATGCAGAGCCAAAAATTCTACCTTTGTTATGAAAATCTTCCTTTAGCTTTGTGCACTCATAGCTCAGTCAGTTTGCTGGAAGTGACTCAATCCTAAAAATGCTTCATCTGTCTTCTGGAGGTTGTGGGCTGTTAGTTTAATGTGTTTCCAAGGAGTGCAGAGTAGCTCAAAAGGGTTTTTATCACCACCTGTTCTGAGAAAGGGACATCCCTCCAGCAGCACTGCAGCTACCCACGTCCTGGCCGTGCTTTTGCCTCACAGGAGAAATATTCAAAGTTGAGTTAATGACATCTGGAATGGGTAAAGTGATACAGGTACTGAGGTGAGTGCTTGGTGACTTTGACACCATTCAGGCTTCTCTGGAGACTGCTGAAGTTGCTAGACTTTTGAGTTGCATGGACGTTTAAGTTATTTTTCTGTGTATTGGTTCTATCTGGTTTGAGTTTCTTGCAGCTCGTCCTGCTGAATCTATTGCTTTATAAATATATAGAGCACTTGGTGTAGGAAAACCTGTCTCAGAAGAGTTTCTGGTATGAAAGAATAGTGTGTTCAGGCAGATATTCCTGTGCTGACATGTCCTGCAATTATATAATAGCCCATAATCTGAAGCAGTGAATACTCTTTACAGGTATTCTGCATGTTTTTTTAATGCACACATATAGCTGTTACTTGTAAGACAAAGATGGAATTATTATTTTCTGATTTCCTTGAAAAATAAAAAATATCCTGTTCAAGTTTATTAATTGCATGTTTCTTCTTTAGTTATAGAGTCGAAGACACTGCAAGGAGACAAGGGAGAGCACAGTTTTGATGATCCTGGAACATTTATCATAGAAAATACAACTGTTGAATTTCAGAAGAGTACAGACAGGGAAATCATAAAGATCCAGGGACCTCTTGGAGCAGATTTCATTATCAAGGTGGGATGCATGTATGTACAAATCTACAAAGTATGTTGCAAAGTATGTGCAACAGAGTAGGTGGCTCCATCAGCTTGTAGCAGTACAACAAAATCTTTCAGCTAGGAAATAAGAAATCCTAATTACAGTCCAGAGGTAATTTATACTAAGTATATCCAAACAAATTAAAATGTTACAAGGTTAATGTCTTTTCTGTGGTGGAAACTACAACAGTGGTAAAAATGACCAGGAGTTTTGTTTTAATTACTGGGAGATTATCCCTGTGATCCTGTGCTGTGGGTTAGTGTTAATCCAATTGAAGACTGCCACCTACTGAATCTGAGAATCTCCTCATGCAGCACCCTAGAATCAATTTTAGCTAATCCAGCTACTGACCATTTCTAATCTAAGGTTCTCTTCTACCCAGACCACACACCAATGGCTTGCATCATACACACAGATATTTGTATCTAGAAAAAAATCAAGATTTGACTGCCAAAGAAGATAGTCATACAGTTTTCCAATGGAAATGACAAGTGTTTCAGTATTGCCACACCACTTGGTTTTATCTGTCATGTTGTAGAAATAGACTTTCAGTAGTTTTCATTTTGCATCACCAAAATCACAGATGCAGTTAGACCTGCCTGAGTCTGAACCGGTGTGCTTAGATCAATTATAGACTTCCCTCTCCAGCAAATTCTAAAAGTTTTACTAAGAAAGATAAACCAGAAGAATACAGGTTAGATAATCAAAGTCACGTTCAAGATACTCTTGAACGATTTGTAAAGCAAAGCAGCATACCAATGTTTGACTGTTGGAAACTTTAATTGTCACTGTGGACTTTCTAGAGATTTTATGCCTGTTATCATAGAATCATAGAACAGTTATGCCTCTTATCATAGAATCATAGGGTTGGAAAGGACCTTAAGATCATCCAGTTCCAACCCCCCTGACATGGGCAGGGACACCTCACACTAAACCATGTCACCCAAGGCTCTGTCCAAACTGGCCTTGAACACCGCCAGGGATGGAGCATTCACAACCTCCCTGGGCAACCCATTCCAGTGCCTCACCACCCTTATAGTAAAGAACTTCTTCCTTATACTCAATCTAAACTTCCCCTGTTTAAATTTTGACCCATTACCCCTTGTCCTATCGCTACAGTCCCTAGTGAAAAGTCCCTCTCCAGCACCCTTGTTAGGCCCCCTTCAGATACTGGAAGGCTGCTATGAGGTCTCCACGCAGCCTTCTCTTCTCCAGCCTGAACAGCCCCAGCTTCCTCAGCCTGTCTTCATACGGGAGGTGCTCCAGTCCCCTCATCATCCTCGTGGCCCTCCTCTGGACTTGTTCCAAAAGTTCCATGTCCTTTTTATGTTGAGGACACCAGAACCGCACACAATACTCCAAGTGAGGTCTCACGAGAGCAGAGTAAAGGGACAGGATCACCTCCTTCAACCTGCTGGTCACGCTCCTCTTGATGCAGCCCAGGATACGGTTGGCTTTTTGGGCTGCAAGCTCACACTGAAGCCGGCTCATGTTCATTTTCTCATCCACCAACACCCCCAAGTCCTTCTCCACAGGGCTGCTCTGAATCTCTTTTCTATTACTCTTCTATTACTCATATATCATACTACTCTCTGCACTGCTATTATATATGAATTGTTTTGAGATTACATGAGCGGTACAGTATACACATGTGTTGTAATGGAAATTTCTTCAGGCCAGGTACTCTGGATCAAAAGATAGTGTGGTTCAGTTCTTCTTCTATCAACCCATCAGTCATCAGTGGAGACAAACAGAGTTCTTCCCTTGCACAGTGACATGTGGAGGAGGTAAGTAATGGCAGTTCTTCATGAGTGTTTAAATCTGAAGATCAAAAGTGGCAGATTGACAACCTTTGTTCTGCATTTTTATTGGTTAGGTTTTTGTGTTTCTTTGCACACCGATGGTTCTTCAGGAAAATAAATGAAATAGTAGCACCTAAATTGGTTGGTTGAGTTAGTATGTGCATAGGATTTCTTATACCTTATATTACCAGAAGTCATGTTATTCCATAAGGAATAATCATTTGAGTAAGAACTTTGAGTAGGTTGCCTGGAGAAGTTGTGGCTGCCCCATCCCTGGAAGTGTTCCGGAAGGGACTTTGAGCAACTTGATCTAGTGGAAGGTATTCCTGCCCATGGCAAGGTGGTTGGAACTTGATGATCTTTAAAGGTCCCTTCAAACCCAAGCTCATCTATGATTTTATGTTATGACATTCAAAATGGAAAATGCCAATTCATAAAGGATATTTTAGGAAAGTAAGCAAAGAAATACGGTGAGATTTTTAACGTAAGGATAATCAAGAAATGGAGGAAGAAGGTATTTCTGGCCACAGTGTAGACAGGAGGGGAGACAGTATAAGTAAATAGAACTTAAAGAATAACTACTATTAATACCTTTGACTTTCTGATCTTAAACACTTAGTCCTGACGGTGAGCAGCACATAGTGTGCCATGGCATCTACTGGTTTAAACACTACAGTTTATACAATGGTTAGATGAAGTGCAGCACAAATCTGCTGCTGCTCATACAGCCCAGCCCACTGCTTGTCATGTCTGGTTCTGCAAAAACCGTAACCTCATGGCAGGAGGAGTGCTTGACATTTTAGATAGCTGTTTCACTTCAGCTAGCATTACCCAGGTCACCTGGAAAACAGACTGGGGTACTGGTGATCCTGCTGTAGTGGGTTTTTTGGAGACTGCAAATATGGTTTAAATAGTTACTTGGGACATGAGTAAAAGATGTTTAAAGCACAAGTGGAGCCTGGGGATCCTTTGATGGACCACTTGCACCTCACTTTAATCTGAAATGCAGACAGTTATATGTGTGTAATATCTAGTCTCACAGGAAACTACTGTATCTTATAAGATACTTGGCCTCATTAAGTGTGATTCTTGCTGGAAGTGTGAGTGGCAATACATGTCCTCTGATGATTTCACTGCACTGTTTATGAATTTCTTCCTAACTCATCTGACAGGGGAAGAAGTGTAAAGCATCACAGTTATTTTTGAGGACTGCAGGTAAACACTGGATAACTCAAGGGACATATCTACCTTCAAGTTTATTGGCTTAAATCCAGTCTTATGCAGACTGGTGTTATGGTTTGAAAATTATAGCTACATGTCAATCTCTTTGAAATCAGCCAGGGTTTTTAGTGCCCTGCTTTGTAGCTGCATGTCTGTAATATGAAAATGACCTTTATAAGCAGGGCTTGACACTCTTGATGGCAGTCCTGAGGGAGGCCGGTAACTGAGGAAGCACAGAAACTGAGCTATTTGCTTGCCCATGAAATTAGTAAAGAAAGGCATATTACTGAGGCATGTGGGGAAGTTGTATTGCAGCTGCCTGGCTTTAACCTGTTATCTTAAAGCAGATTTAGTGTTCAGATTGTCTGTTTGGCATATTTTACTGGCAATAAAAGAAAAAGGTTATTCACAACAAAGACTTGGAACCAGTGCACCACCATTCCTCACTTGGATGCTTCTCCTACATTTAATTCTGTAATCTCCATGTGTTGGAAGGGGGAGTGTGATGGGCATTTCGGAAAGTACTGTCAGGCTTGAATGAGCAAGAATGTCTGAAAATTAAGTTTATCTTGTTTGCAAGTAGCGTATCTTCTGGGTCCTTTCAGTACTTACAAGAACTGGAACATACATGCTTTCAGCACTGGAACTGCTTAGTTCCTCTTCGTGGTTATCCTTCTCATGCATGATGACACTTTGAATCAGCCAAGAGACACACAAGCAAAGCCATTGATATATGATACTTAGCATTTTCAGTAGACACTGGGACTTGTGCTGTTAGTTTATTGACTCTGTTTGGATTTTAATTCTTGTGGTTTCAAGCTTTTTTTTTCTTTGCACATACCAGAACATCCTCCTCCTCTCCTCAGTTTAAGTCCAAGTCAGCTCTTTTGAATGAGTCTTTTTTCTTAGCCAAAAAAGCAACTTAGTGGTTTATAAAACTCAGATCTTTTCTTGTAACCAGCCTCCTCACAGACTTCTTTTTTTTGGTTTTGTTTTGTTTTTTTTTTTCACCAAGTAGTTACTTCAAGTTTTCTTTTGCTGGCTCTTCAACTAGGAATGTTCTTGAAACTATTTCTTGGTCTTCTTCAGTTTAACTTAGCAATGTTTTTGGATCTCATCTTCAATTCCTCTGGCTTTATTTTAAGTATTTATTTTTTTTTTAACATGCATGACTGTGTAATATAGCTCTCTAACATACGTGGTAAATCCTCCTTGGGGGAGGGCAGTTATAAATTATGGGACATGTAGTAGAACCATATGACTTTCTAGGGTTGCCTCTGTGACAGGTGAGCTGTTCCAGTACATGTATTCCTGCATCACATAAAAATATATATGCTTTTACTCTTAGAATATTATCAGAATAATGTGCCAAAGCCTCATCTAGTGTTAGGATAGGCTAACATAATAGTTATACTGAATTGATTTAAATGAAGATCTGGTCCTGCATGTTCCTGTGCAGCGTTTCCTTGTTTAAAAGTAAACCAAAGAGGAGTAGCAGAAGAAATTAATTGTGAATGGGCAGCACAATTTTTGGGAGGGGTGGGGAAGGAATAAGGCTGCTTTAATGTGTTGCTGTTGCCGATATTTAACTTTGCTCCTGCATTAGGTTATCAGCTTAATTCAGCTGAATGCATGGATATTCGTCTGAAGCGTGTTGTTCCTGACCACTATTGTCATTACCATCCAGAAAATAAGAAACCAAAGCCCAAGCTAAAAGAATGCAACATGGATCCCTGCCCTTCTAGGTTTGTATGGCAAATAAGTTTGTGTGTGGTATACTCAGTTACTAATGAACAAGAAATTGTATTTACTTAATTTAATCTCTTTTAATCTTTATGGCTACTTAATCTTTGGCTACACATCTATCTACACAATCTAATGGCTACACATTAAAGGCTGATGTTGGGCACCACTGCCTATAGATTTGTAGCATTTCAGTGTTGCAGAATAGGAGACTTTGCTTTATACAGAGATATAGTAAATGTCAATTTGTCTGTTCAAGGGCTAATTCTACTTTATCTTTTGCTGAGTGGTACAGCACTAGTACAAGGATTTTGTGAGGCTGTGTGAGAAGGACAGATTGTTTGCCTGCTTTGGATTTATTGATGCTGCCATTCAGGATTTCTCATTAGACAGACAGTAGCTCTAGTTCTGTCAGAGTACAAGTTTTGCACATGGTTTAACTTGTTTTATTCATCTGCCCACTGTAAAAGTTTCATTCTTCGTTTGTACTGTGGAATTGACAATTATTAAAGTTTGGGGGGGGTTTGTGTTTTTATACTAAGAATTTTTTAAAAAACCACATTCAAAGTAAATATACTTGTATGACAAATACCACAGAACGTTATTGCCAAATTACAAAGGCTATAGTATACATAAATTGTATCGAATTACAATACAGTATTTCAAACTAACTTTTGGATTGTCTGGTGAGGTTTCCTGGCTGTGCTAGAGAATCTTAAAATAACATCACAGTATCAGGTCCCAGAACCTCACATTAATATGCCAGCTGGCCGAGCTAGAGTTATAGGCAAGAAGAAAAGGAAACACTTTCAATGGATTTCATTTCCTATAGCTAAACTGTCCATTTCCTTTCATTCCTGTAGAACATAATCATTGATAGTGACCTCTAACAGTTATAGACATGCAGACTCTCAAGTATTTTTTTCCTGGAGAGTTGATCACTATATGGAGTGGTAAGATTTCAGTAATGCTTAATGGCAATGGTTGCCAAGTGTTGCAAAGCTGGAATGGCAAAATTAGGGAAGGAAAGGGTGTAATTACGTTTTCCTTTCAAATTTAGCTTATATAGACAGAAATAGGGAAGTACTACTGGATATAATACCATATCTCTTAGCATTGGTAGTAAGGGTTTATGCCTGCTCTATGCTGTGCAGTTCTAGAAGGCTTTTAATCACCATTCAGGACCTATCTAGGATTAATCCTGTGGTGCATTTATGTCACTGACACTCAAGTTCTTCAGTGTCTTTGTTACAGGTTTAAGTATGTAACTTTTCTTGAGAATAAATTAGCACAGTCCTAAAAATTTGCTGATAATACTTTTCTTTGTTGAAGGCTTGTTCATTTAATTAGTTTTATTTTTGATGGTATGAAGTGGAGAAACTGTATGGGGAGTAAATCTTTATCTGTGCAGAAGAGGTAAGGTTATACAAGTTATTGTTTGCCACAAGGGTGATGTGTAATGGATGTAAGATTCCCTCATTTTACATTGGGAATTGCTTACTTTAAGTATGATCATGTAAAAATATGTACTTGGGTAGTACAGTCTCATGTATGAGAAAAATGATGCAATATTTATTTTTTTGACAGTGATGGATTTAAAGAAATCATGCCCTACGATCACTTCCAGCCACTTCCTCGGTATGTATAATCAGGATAGCATACATGTCAGCATTAGCACAATTTTCACTGCAAACATACTATTTGAGTATTAAGATCATGGAACATCTGATTTTTTACTGTACAGGAGAGCAAGTTTATAACAATCCTCTACGTGTTTTTATGTTTGTGATTTATTTCAGTGCACTCTGATTAGCTTAACAGCAAGGGATTAATATGCTCTTCTTGAAAATATCACTGTGGAAGATTTAGAATAAAGAACTGTCCCGCTAAGCCTTCTCCTGCTATAGTTTTGGGAAGAGCATCTCCATTAAAATGCATGTATGAATTCTTGTCTTAATGATGAATGAAATGAAATGTTTTTATTTTGAAGATGTATGCAATGAGTGTATTTTACAGAACAGGTCTGCCTGTGTTACAGGACTCTAGAAATTCTTTTTTCGTCAAGAGGTCTTATTCTTCTGCTCGTTGTTAGACCTACTACACTTTATCTGTTGACATCAAGGCTGATGTCCCTTTAAAGACACAGAGTTATCTGAATATATATATGTATTACCTAAATATATATTACCTAAAATTAAGTTGTCAGAGCACAGTTTATTGTCATTTATTTATCTACCTGAATCAATGAAAAGAATGTGAATCTTCTCTGGAAGGCTTACATGTTCTGTGAAGAATGTTCGGACTAAAAAGCATTGAGCCAGATTTACTGTTAATGTGAAGAATTATAGTTGATGGAGTTAGATGCATATTTATCTAAGCTGATCCTCCGCTTTATTATGCCATGAAATGAATAATGTATATTTTTCTAAAGAAGTAAAGATATGAAGTAATACGAATGAAATCATAGACTTGCATGGCTCAGTGGAGCTACTGATTGCAGCTGATATAAATGTCATAGTTTATTTCTGTAGCAATTTATGCTCGTTGTGGATCTGCTGTCCTGTGATGTACTTTGGCTTTCCTACATACAGTCAGGATTTTTTTCCGTCACAGCTTTATCCTGTAAAGTTTGATGATTATGTTCTGTGTCTCTCCCCTTCCATTTTTTCTGCCAATTCCTTTGCACTTAAGGTCTCCTCTGGAACTCAGCATAATTTATTTACATGAGTATTTCATCTTCGGAACTGTTCAGGGCTTGGAGGCCAGTTGAAAGAGAAATTTAATCCCCCTTTTTGTGCTTTACCGTGCTCAGCATGTTTGCATGACACTGTGGTGAGATAGATTGTGTGCAGTAAAGCTGTGGGCAGGTTCTCTTATTTCAAACACTGAGAAATGCAGACAAAGGCCCACCTCATTTTGACACCTCAGTGTGTCCTGTCAGAAGGTATCATGGTCTTCCTGGGTGATGCTCAGGAGTAAGAACTGTATGATAGCAGGTTGCCAAGTAGGGCACAGAGTTGGTGCCGGGGGAAGGAGAGAGAGGAAAAGGGCTGTATTACACTGGGAGGGCACATAAAGAAGCACAAGATAAAAAAGCACTCTTTCTTACTGGAATTTCTGAAAGAAAGCAGCAGTTGAAACAGGCACTTTGTATTCCTGCATCATGAGGTGAATCTGGTCCAGCACAGATGCAGGTCTTGCTTCAGTGTAGCAGGATGTATTTTCTCTGTGCCTGTCAAGTAACTGCAATGCATTAGCCTGTGCCAGTTCTGCTGGAGCTTTTCCCACCTTTTCTTTTTGCCTTTTCTTACCTGTTTCTTATACGCTAATCCAAGAGTGTTCTTGCAAAGCAGGCGGAAAACCAAAGTGCTGTAGATGTGCTTGAGCAAAACTGTACAGGCTCCTTCACTTGACCAGCAGTCATACATCACACCACCTACATAACACAAGGGCCATGTGGAGGGCTGCTTTGCAGTCCTGTGGTGTTTACCACTACTTTCCCATTCACACGAGGAAGCTGTGGGAAAGTCATGGTGCACACCACAAGATCTTGAAAGAGTTCTCCTGTGGCTAAAGTTGTAAATGCCCCACTGAAATATTTTTACAGATGGAGAATTCTTTTGAAATAAATAGGAAAATTTCCCAGGATGAAAATTTTCTTTTAAAGCTTTTGGAATGCCTCCATTTATTTCAGACTTGTTGGACTGTTGAGGATCCCTTGACAGCTGTGGGTTCTGGAAAGAATCTCCTTGACTGCTTGCCCAAGACCCCCCTTTTCCCCAGTAGCCATGGACCTCACTCCATCTTGAGAATGCTTATGGGAGTATGGGATCTGGAGTGTGTTCGAAACTGATGAGATAAAGAAAAACAACTATAAAACTTCATGCTATAAACACTTGCAAGGCTAGCATTACATATAGCACAGTGAGCCTTATATATATAAATCCATGAGCTGCTAATTCATTGAGCAGTTAATTATTCTGCAGTTTCTGACTTTTTTTGAGGAAAATGAGTTGACAATGGTAGCTCTTTTAAGTCAGAGAAGTGTAACTGTTGCTCTTGAAATGTATCTTGTACTTGTGGTATGGTATCTTATGGGGACATCCAGCTTTGTTCTAAATGTTTTTGAGTATATGCTCCATGGCTAATGTTTCATGGTTTGCTCTATGTTTTACACTCATTCGTTTGTTGAGCTTAAGCATGATTAATATGTTTTTGTAGGCAGTTTAATGAATTGTGTAAAATAGGAAGTGTCCTTGATTTACCTGTGGGATCATAGAATGTGGGTAGTAGTCACTTAAACTTATTTTTGATTCATAGGCCTTTGCTTCATCTACTTTGAGATTATGAATTCCTTTATGATAGCTAAATTACTCTTGATGAATTGATTTTGGTGGGATACTGAAGTACTTGACAAGTCCATTGTTCATAATGCATGTAATTTTTTTCATGGTCCTTTCTGAGCCCCTGCAGTTGTAATAGGAATAAGTTTTAAACTAAGACGTTGATGAACCAAAAGATGTGCCGCAGGACTGGAGCATTTCACAGGGCTTTGCTTTGGTTTGGGTGGGTGGTGGGAAAGAAGCAAGAGATAGTAGGTGAAGGGTGAGGAAAAATTGTGTGGGGGTCAGTGGAATCTATAGACAAATGCTATGATAGGAGCTTGTTACCTTTAAACATGACAATAGCAGGACATTATTGAAGTTAGTTTTTGTTGATAAGTGATCGCTTAAATGTACATTCATGCTAAGACCAGGAGATAAATGAAACAGAGTTTGTAACCTGAAAACTGACATGTAATTCTCGCTTCAGATGGTGTAGCAATTGCCATCTTTATTGTGGTTAGGTCTAAGATTGTGGATAGATGTCCATTCTGAAGGCATTCCCTCCCAGCAGGTTGTTCATCATCCCTCTGTTGGAGGCTGCTAGCCCACAGCTCTGCTGGTTGACAGGGCTGTGTGGACTTTCCTTAATCTGTGCATAGCCCTGCTTCAGGAGCAACCAGCTAGGTTATCCAAAGCAGCTGAAATGGATGAGCAGCTGCCTTTTGCTTGAAGCAAGTTGGAAAGTGTGAATACAAAGCCATTCAACAGCATTTTAATGAGGGTGGAAAACTGTTGCAGAACTGCAACGGTGATCAGCCAAATGGTAGCTGTCACAATTTAATTTGCTCACTGTCCTTAGGGATGAAGACAGTTTGACATGAAATGGCTGGGTTTACCCAAAGCAAGTATTAGAGTGCTCAGAAAAGCTCTTGCATTAAGAGATTTTTTTTTTTTTAGGGTAGCCTGCATGATGTGGGCAGTGATGAGAACCTGGGCAGTAGCACCCTCAGTCAGCACAGCCAGATCTGTCTTTGTCTGTGGACTTCATACAATCTCAATTACGTATGATTGTCTCTGACAATGGTAATAGGAGTGTGAGACCATGTAAATTAGCTGAAAAAATATTCTGTTTAGAGTATTTAGACTATTTGCAAGTAAAATCATTCCAGTACTCAAACTCAGTATATTTAGTGTCTTTAACTCATGTATGAGAATAAGATTTTTAGTTATTCTGTTAAGTATACTTAAATTTGTAGTTCTGTTTTTCTTCTCGATTTGCAAACTAATTTAAATCTGGAATAGGGCAAGGTAGTTATGTAATTTGATGTATTTTTATTCAGTGTATGGTAAGAAAACAGCAACCAAACTGTCATTGGCTATTAATGACGCTGATGTTGAATTCAGTATTTTGCACTTTTATTCCACTGAATTTTAGTGGAATAAAAAATAGCCTTATTTTTAATATATCCGAGTTCTTCTTCCAGGTGGGAACATAACCCTTGGACTGCATGTTCAGTGTCCTGTGGAGGTGGTATTCAGAGAAGAAGTTTTGTGTGTGTAGAGGAGACCATTCATGGAGAGATACTGCAAGTGGAAGAATGGAAATGCATGTATGCCCCTAAGCCCAAAGTCATTCAAACCTGCAATTTGTTTGACTGTCCTAAATGGGTGGCAATGGAGTGGTCTCAGGTAAGTTGAAAAATAAACTGGACCTTTATTTTTGTTTTCTAAAGCAAGCCTCTAGTTTTGTTAGCATGCATTTGTGAGCACAGGGCTATTAGAAAAAGGCAGCCCTGCAAGCATAATTCATAGGACTTACTAGGAGAAGCTTGCTCTAAGTAATTTGGCCAGATAATCAAAATGTTAATATGTCTGTGTGGAGAAAAATCTATATAGAATTATTTATGCCTGCTTTACACAGAGGAGGGATGAGAGCCAGAGGTCAGGCTCCTTTGCAATCAGGTCGTTTGCCTCTCAGTTCTTGATAAATGTAATATTTCACTGCATATAATAGCTAAAGGCATGTCTGTCTAGGGGCTGACAAGTCTGCAAGGGTGATTTTCCAGCATTACCTTTCATTATAGTAACAAGAATATAAAGCCAACTTGTCTTGGCTGTAGTTATCTGATACAGTCAGATAGCTCAACACTTCTATAATTTCTTAGTCCATCCAAATGACATCACTAACATGTAGTGAAGAAACTGTTCTTGCAGCACATCTGACCCATCTTTAACTGAAAATGACCACTGTGAAAGAGCATATTCTCAGTACATAGCCGCCTCTGTTTCAGACTGTTGCCAATCAGATAAGCTTTACAGAACCCCAAGAAATCACTTGCATTCCCAAAACTTGAGACATTTTTTCCATCATCAACCTTTTCTTTATTCACCCAGCAATGCAGGGGCAAATTCATACATCTCATACCTCACTGATTGTGGAAAAACTTTAGTGAACACATCATCAGAACTTCTAACTTGCTTTTTAACAGTATTAGTAAACATAATGAAAAAGAAACAGTATGAGGTGATTGCATTGTCTCCTGCAGTGCACAGTGACCTGTGGCCGAGGCTTGCGCTACCGAGTAGTGCTGTGCATTGACCACCGCGGGCAGCACGTCGGTGGTTGTAATCCACAACTTAAACTCCACATAAAAGAAGAGTGCATCGTGCCAATACCATGTTACAAGCCAAAAGGTAACTGGAATTTTGTCTGGGTCTGTTATTGTTTTACATTTTTGTTAGGAGAATTAAAAGCCCCTGGTAACCTTTTTCAGAAATGCCAGAAGAAATACCTGGAATTTACTAGGACTTATTTCAGACTTGGCAGAAACAAGCATTTTAATTATTGGTGCTAGGAAAAATGCCCTGCTAATATTTTTTGCTGATGGTGTGGCCAGACTGTCATGAGGTGAACATGCTAACTAAATCTATACAGCCTGGTCAGACCAGAATTAATGAGTCCAACATGGGGAGGGGGAGATGCTCAATAATACTTAAAATGGGAATGATACTCCATATGTATCACTTGGGATCTTGCTCATTTGCATCTTGTTAAATTTGTCCACATTCTCAGGGGGACTCTCAGTTCATTAAGTTAATCAAACTGGTTTCCTTCTCTGTTCTCCATATCTGCATATTTAAAAGGCCTTTAACGATGCAAGTTGATAAATATTCTCTAAAAGACTTGGTAAGGCATACAACAGTAGGTGGGAAAACGAAAAGGAGAAAACAAAAGGGGGGTGGTGGTGGAAACCAGTGTATCTTGTCACTTGCTGATTTGTGTCCCTCTGGGCCATTTTAGTGGGTTCTACTTCTATTCTTACAGTTTTTCTTTGAAAGGCTGTACTTCAGACCTTCACAGCTGACCATAGAGATTTACATAGAAAAAGTGAAAGCTATCTGTAGACAACCCTATTTCAGGATGTTTTCAAACTCTAAAGAATTCTTCAAGCAGAAAACTATTCAGGGTTAAGCCATGAAGTAGAAACCAGCTCTGAATATTTAAGAACCTTCTTCTGGGGTTTTACTGAAATTTGGAGGCACAGATCCTCATTTGGCTTACAGTACTCCTAGAAAAAGCATTACAGAAGTGTAGGATGCTTAGACAGATAAAAGAAACTAGTGTTGTTTTTAAAATTAATGTCCAGGTTTGGGATAACTGCCCAACTCCGGAAAAAAATATTCTGTCAATATTTTTTAATGAAGCAGTCTGTCTGGAACGCAATGTATGTTTGCTATGCCCTGGCTTCTTTCAACTATAAACTTAAATTCTGACGATAAGCCATTATACTGAGATATACGCTTCAGTCTGCATTTGGGGAAGGTGTGGGAAGGAAGTGAAAGATTAAACATGAATGGAAATTGAATCAGTCGTACCCTCTCAGTAAAGAGGGGTGTCAAAATGGAGCTCAAACATCATGTGGGAATTTTCTCGTATGTTATGTTTTATTGTCCAGTACATATTCAAAAGCCTCAGATCAGTAGGCAATGTAAAGTGTGAAGTGCTAAGGTGAATGCTGCTAACTTCTGCATATTGTTTTGATTTTGGAGGAATTACTGAATGTTTTTGTTGTGTTGATTTTTTTTTTTTTTTTCCTCTCTCCCAGAAAAAACTCCAGTGGAAGCAAAATTGCCGTGGTTTAAACAGGCACATGAAATGGAAGAGACCATAAAAGTCTCAGAAGAGCCAACGTAAGTACATTGTCTTTTACATCGAAGAAACATTTCCGGCACATTTTGCAGATCATCTGGAACAACTGCTGCTATGCAGTTTGCTTTGACAGTTGGCCTTCCTTGGGTGATGGGCTGTGTTGTGAGCTATTCCTAGTTTTGAATCTCAGTAGCTTTGCTTTTGGAGATCCTGTTCTGGATGACGCAGAGCTGCTCTATTATAGTGTTCCTGTACCATTCAAGCAATGCAAAGGGATATTAATTTAGCCTAATTAATGCATGTGGAAGCATTTCAGCAGATTTAAGTTAAATAAATTCAGTTCTATCCCAGCCGTTGCAGTCACCTCAAGAATGTAGTGGCTGTATTAAAAACTAAGAGGTGCTTTGTAGGGTTGCCAGCATTTCCTTGGGGGGTGAGCCCCATGCATAAAAAAAGTGAGAAAAGCCTGCTGATCTCTGAGCTTAGCTGAATCTACAGGGGTAAATTGTGATACTTTACACGTGAGTATGTGTGAAATAACATCTGGATTTTGTGAGTTCCCTTAAAAGCTGATGAGGGTAAGCCTCACAATATTTAAGTCCTGAGGATGAAAACATTATTTAAATCCACCTGCACTTGTTCCTGTCCCTTGTATGTTAGGGCATCCACACAATTGCTTATATCCGCTGTGTATGTTCATGGATATATGTATCTTCTGAATTCAATATATAGTATATAACTTTCTAGAAAGTAGTAACTTTCTGTAAGGCTTTCATGAGAGATTTTTAGCAGTAAAATGTGTTTTGCTTTGTGTTTGTGCTTGTTGTGCTTTGCCAAATTCTGCAATCATTTGTAGTAATATTAGTTTAAAATCATTTAGATGAGCTTACTGAAGTTCCTTTGGATTTATTATTGCTCTGAGAGCAGAGCATGCCCAAAAACTTATTTTTCTTCCTCCATCTTGCTAGTCCTGATTTTTGGCACACTTGCACCAGCAGGTGTGATCATGAGTAATAAAATCTTTACACCTGCACTGACTCACAGAAGAAACCTCTTGCCAAACAGGTGTTTGTTAGGTGACTGTGCTTTAAACTTTTCACTGCTCTAGCCTCTCAAGTCAAGTGTCAACCTACTGTGAGCAGTTATTTCACTCTCCAAATTGGTGGCCCTGAATTCAAGCAGGGTAGTAGCAAAGATATAAAAGTAGTGTGATAATCAAAGGGGGTGATGCAACCAAATGTGCCTGTTGAATTCAGCATATCAGAATGAAGGTATATGAGGCCACTCCTAAAGAGGATTCAGCATGAAGATATAAAGAAAAAGTTCTCTGGCATTTTGAAATCATGCTATGACAGCTGTAAACTGATGTTGTCTTGAGGTTTTTAGGATCCTTCAGCAGCAGTCTGACAGAACAAGCAGGGAGGACTGGCAGGGACACAGCATGCTAAGTCAGAGTATATTTAGAATATAATAGAGCCGAGCCGGAAACTGTGTAATGGGTTCCCTTGTACCTCATCCTCACAAAGAAAGCGGTTATTCATGCCTTCCTAGACATGACCGATGTATTCCACTGCAGCCTCACAGTGTGAATGCAGCCATGTGTTCGAGTGCTCAGTGCATGTCCTGTCACAGCTGTGCAGTTTTGCAGTTTCCTCAATCTTTCTTCTTCTTCACTTGCTCTGGAGACCTAGATTTTCTTAATCTTTCATTCACAATCCTCATCTGTCCTAGGAGTCTTTCTTCCCATTTTCCAGAAGCACGTTCACTAAGTCTAAAAGATTTCTCCCTGCCCTTGTTGCTGATGACTTTTCTCTGCCATCCTCCTCTTTACCGAGGTGTTGCTGAGGTGCTGTGATTTCCTAGTCTGGGCGCTCTGGGCCCTCCTGGGACGCAGCTCTAATGCTGAAGCCAGGTTCCCCATCGGTTTCTTTTTACCTGTCTTCTGGTGTCACCTGCTCTTAATTTATTCTTCTAAGAAAGCTGTCATGTAAGGAGAAATGAGAAACAACTGACTTCATTCCATTTTGTGTATTGCCTGTTGGTCATGTAGACAATGCTTTGCAATCTGAGCAGTTTCTCAATAGATGCTTTGAATCTTGTGCTCTAACTGCTGTGGTCTTTTCCAGCTGGAGTGAGATTTTTGGGTCAGGGTTTAGCATTTAAAAAGAAATTGTAACAATAGGTTGTAACTTCTCCCAGAATAAATTATAACAAGATTTCCCTCTGGTTTGAAAGTGTTTAACTTTGTTTTCTGTAATTTACACATGGCACAGTGATAACTCATGGCCCACCTCTGCCTAGCCGGGGGGCTTTTGAGTTCCTTGGTAAAATGCCATTGCTTTTAATTTTAGCTATTCTCTTGTCGTCCAAACTTTAACCACAATATGAAGTCTCAGCTTCTAGTCCATCCTTTTATTACAACTGTCTTTCTATGTTTTTGTGCGATATTTTAGTTGATAATGAATGAGAGAATAAATGCAGCTGTGTTTTAGAACCCACAAATGATGGATATGCCAAAAGTAGCTTGTGGAAGATAAATACTTCTGCCGCTGTGGTCTACCACGGCTGGTGTCCTGAATTTACAGAGAGGGGGAACATTCAAAAGCTTCTCTTTTTTTTTTTTTTTATTATTAGCAAAATAAAAAATGACTGCCCTTAAACTGAGGCCAAGAAAAATGTAGGTCTGACCTTTTTAGTTTTCAGTTGTGGAATGTGATGACAGTTGATACCAATCATTATTTTAAATGTTCTTCCCTCGAGCCTTCTTAGTTACAGTGGGATTCTCAGAGAAGCTGCAGCAAGGTTTTTGCATCCTTTTTATTAATCGTAAGTTAAAGAAATAGGCACTTCAGCTGCCTTACCTTCTCATGGTTTAGGGCAAAACTAAAGTGCTTTCAAAAGCTGATGTGTTTTTTTTTTCAGCAGCCTGAGCTAAAAGTTAATCACTAGGTTTGTGGAGCTGCATTCACTGAATGTGAAATGAAGTGTCTCTTATAAAGGCTCCTGCTCATTGTGTTTGGCTCTTTTTCACATAAATGTCCCCACTGTGCCTTTGGTGATAGACATTTTTCACAGGTTCCTCTCTGAAAGTGGACTGATGATTTTGTCCAACATATTACACTCATGGGTAATAAAACCTGGCCGTGCAACTCTGCTTAGAATGGGCAAGGGTGGTGCTTCAGGAACGGGTAGGATGCCAGCATCATGGAAGTTCTACTCCCGTAAGCAGCCAGCATTTTTGATGCTTCTGCACACTCTTATCCAGGCCCCTTGGCACAGTAGGGTTGGGCTAGAAATATCACAAGAGTGGCCTTTTTTTTTTTTTTTTCCCCAGGATTTAGGCGTTTCCTGTCTTAACTGCAAGCAAGAACTGCAGGCATGAGGAAAATAAAATGAAAAAATAATATTAAGAGACAGCATGTTTTTCAAGTCTTTAGAAAGATACAGAAGGCTTCACTGAGTTAAGTTTTCAGTTCAGATTTGATTTGGTTGGACTGGGCTGTTCTGTACCAGTTTTATCATCAGTACTTTAGGTCACTGCTTCATTTTCCAGGTCAGCTTACACTGGCTTTTTCAGAGTGTGCCAGGTGAATGCACATTTCCATTAGTGTAAGACTGATAACGCTGCAGCATGGACATATTCTCCAATGTATCTGTAGTGTGTACATCATTTATACCTGTGCAGATGATTGAAAAGTTGTGCCGGCTTGGATTTGTATTTTTCCATTATTTTCCTTTTTTTTTAATCAGGATTCTCATTTATAAACTTAGTTACAGATCTCAGACAATTTTGGAGAGCTACCACCATCCTGTCATACCATAATATATTCCCAATGAGGTGCAAGGGATGAGCACACTCTGAGTGTATGCCCATCAAAGGCAGAATGAATTTACTTTAGGGAAGTATCGTGTCCAAACTATTAGCATGAGAGAGTATTAGCATGTATGCTGTGAATGCCACTGAGTAAAAAATATATCACTTCTGTGGCTAATGGAGTTTGCTTTAATGATCTGTCACAGGCTTTGGTTGTGCTCAGTTCCTTGCTCTGAATTTGTATTAGCAATCTCTGTTGACTTCTGTTGAAGAAACTTAAAGTGTGACTTTAACATTGTTGTCTTTTGAAAGGTTCTATAATTTAGGATTTTAAGAACTAAATAGTCATGTGATTGATTTAGCAAATGCCAAGGTAAAATAAAAAGTATTTGGGGTGGTTTTTTACTTTGCACTTTGCTGAAAAATACCAGACACTAATATTCAACAGGAAAACCTCAATTATAATATAGGCTTGCTATAAGTCATAGAAAAAATGCTTAGAACTTTCTGAGTTTCTTTATAAATCAATTGGTTGCTGAATGAAAGGATTGCTGTGGTTCAAAATTTCCTTTCATTTATACAGGATTTCAAAAGAAAGCATCATACATTATTTTTGGAATGCCTTAATGCACTCAACTAACAGTACACAAAACTGGCATTAATTTCTGGTATGCTGCTGTCATGCTTTTACCAAAAAAGTTATTTGCTTTCAGGCTGTCAGCTGTTAACGTGTGGTCAGAGCACCGACCAACTCTTTTCGACTATAAATGTCCATCAGTTTTATTTTTCCAATTAGGTACATAACTACAAATGGACTTACACTTTTTTTGCACAGTTTTCCTTGGTTTCAGGAGGAGCTGGGGACACTGCCCCCTTTACTGAGGTCTGTCATGGACCAGTGAGCTCTAAAATTTTGAGGCTCTGAACAGGAAAGGAAACTTTTAAGTGACTGGATTTGACATCTTTATCTTCATAGTAGACTTGTAAAGGTATTTCATCAACAGCTCCTGAAAGAATAACCAGTTACCTTGTAACCTTTATTGGAAATGGGAATAGTTTTTTCCAGAGGAGACAGTCTGTCCTGGGCTATGTCCCAAGCACATCTTGGGTGACTACCCTGAGGACTTACTTAGAGTATCCTTGTGTGTTACCCACTCATCTGTTCTCCTTTCTTCTATTTGATTCTTTCTCTGTATATATTGGCAAGAAGTTATTGGCTCAAGATGATAAACTGTCTACAGAATCAACCACACTGAGTTGACATTTTTTGATTCTTTCTGTGTATGCAGAGCATAAATTCTGATTTTTGTCTCACACAAGTGTTCCTGTATTTGTAAGGGCAGCTTTCCTGCAGTAAAGAGAAAGGTGATTCTTAGTCAAAGATAAGGAGAAAATCTTTGGATCCTAAGTTGGATTTTTCCTTCCAAATGTTTTTAGCGTTGATCAAATATACCCTCCTGTATCTCCTGTTTGTGTTTTGATCATCATCTGCATTTGTACGTATAATAAAGAGCAACTGCAACCTTTTGCGAAAATGCCCTATGATACTCTGTATTTGATTTCTTATAAATAGTACCCCAGAGCCACACAGGATGACTTCATTAATGAAATTCAGCCCCTTGGCTCTAGTGTCATTTTGAAAATTACTATCAGATATTAATGTTACCCTTGAAGTGAGAGAATATTACAGACTAAAACCTTCTTTTATTCAGTAAATTCCATGATCTGTAGAATTTTTATTATAGTTCATCAGGAGCATAAATGCTTTCTAATAAAAATGATGGATTAGAGACAGAGCCAGTTAGACTTCTTTATTGAAGATGAGAGGCTTCTTACAAGATGAAATCTGAACAGCAGCCTGTGGTGGTGTGCACTGGAGATAGCTGGCTTTGGAAGGTGCTTTTGTTCTCTCCGATTGCTGATTATTAGTATGACATAAGGTGATGATCTTTCTCAGATTTAAGCAAACTGCAAACACACTTTTGGCATATGCCTCAGTCTGTATACCTGGGGAGCTATTTTATATCATATAGATATGTCTTCATGGAGTTTCTCTCTTTTTTCCTTTTCCACTGAAGGAGTTAAAAAAAGAATAAATATATTAGGTATTGTCTTCTTTGTGTATAGACATACATTTATGTTTTAGTATATTTTAACTGTGCACGCACAGACACAATTATATGGAATAAAATTACAAGGTTTCTACTGTGATTCTTTGCAGGTTTATTCCTGAGCCCTGGTCCCCATGCAGTGCCACGTGTGGCAGTGGCATACAGGTGCGAGAGGTGAAGTGCCGAATTCTTCTTGCGTTTACTCAGACTGAGGTTGACCTGCCTGAGGAGGAATGTGAAGATGTGAAACCACCAACAGAACGAGTCTGCCACCAGGCATCCTGTGACAGTGATCCTGTCCCCTATGCACCTGATTTTTCACATGCTGAAGATGGCAGTGTGATTTATGATTGGGAATACATTGGTTTTACTCCTTGTTCAGCCACATGTCTTGGAGGTACCTTTGTTCGATTGTTTGTTTATCCTGAGTTGTAAGAATTTGACATTGTTTGACATTGATGGGGCTTCTGTTGGTTTCATTGGCTTCTAGCTATGTAGATCTGTAGGAAAATATGCAGCTCCAAGTTTTAAATTATTTCTAGGTTATCCATAGAGTCTTTCAAACTACTTCATTTTCTTTATAATCTGTATTCAAACACCAACTTTATTTGGTTGGCTAAGGTGCAAGAAGGTGTTGATATAGCAATTTGCTTTAACCTTGTTGCTGAAGGAGTTATGGGCTGCAAGGCAGTTGGTGATACCAGCATGTTTCTAGGAACCAAAAATATATAGGTTTATTCCCATGTTAATTATTCTTTATCTTCTGAAATGCTACCATTTTCTACAGCACAGTAGGGATACAAAGTTGTAATTAGGGAGACTTGCTTTCAGCCTGACCAGCATGAAGATCAAGCAGAAGTTTGTTTAGGTCTTAGTACAGTACATCACTGTATAGGAACTTTGTGCCATATATCTGTCTGCAAGTAGTTAGGCACATTCCTTTTTGGATGTAATCGAATATCCCTGTCATCCTAAGTACATGTTACTAGACAAGGTTGTTGGTGTTGCTACTACATACCATACTTTGGGACTGAACAAGTGAGTTCAAGACTGAACTAAGTGAGTTATGAAGTGTTAAGTGGAGGCAGTGGAATTGTGAACACACCTATATATGGCAGGACTGATGACATCAGTGAGAAGTGAAGACAGTTGTACCCATAGAAGAAACAAAAAATGTAGAAAAAGGGAGAACGAAACAATTGGAAGCAGAGAGCCGGTCTAGGGCTCACAGAATGCAGCCTCCTTTGTACTAATCTTCAGTTCAAACCTTGAAGACAGACATGAGGAGGGATGCCCTAGAATGCTACCAGCAGCATGGTAAGTGACTGATAAGTGCCTCCTTTATCGTCTACTACTGCTGCTTATTGATGGGGTTGATCCATAGGATACTAGCGCATGTTATCAGAAAAGCTGATGCATCCCATTCCCTCCCCTACCTTCAGTGGGCACTAGGACTGGTAAAATGGAATCCTAGTATATATAGTCCAAGTATATGTGCATAAGCGTGTGGTGATAGCAATAGCTGTTGTGACTGAGTGTCTGTGTTTCTTGTTTTTAATGAGGGAATTATGTTTAGAAATCAGGAAATTGTACTCAAAAGCAGAAACAAGGCTTACATTAGTACTAAATTTGTAGTTCTCTTTTTCATATCTCAACTGTTTTGTGTAATGTACAATTATTTCATTGCCATCTTTTTAATCCACTTTAACTGGCTTTTTAGCCAATATCTTTGTCACCGGTGTTCTGAAACTCCAAAGTTTTTGAATTTTGAGGACAAAAGCAGACATTTAGGCTGAAATGATTAGGATGAAATTGTGCCTACAATTTCACATGTGCATGTTTGCATTACTACACCTTCACATGTGAGTTTGTCTGTGCAAAACCATTCACATAAAACCTGAACTTGGTGTGCAAGCTGACAGTTAATTCAAGGAGCCTGTACTGAAGACGGTAGGTTCATTTGTCAGCATGAAGGAACTTCAAAATGACTGACAAGCACATTCAGCTTATTTTGTTGCTGAGGGAGCTGAATGTGAGTTCTGTTGTTCACTTCTGGTCCTTTCATGAATTTGTGAGGTTGCCTGACCCAGAGTGGTCCTATAGGTGTTCTTAGTAATCTAACCATTTGATATGCAATAGAAATGATCTGTTTAAAGAAGTTTAAAAGAAAATATGTTTGTCTTCTTGAGACTTCTGTGGTATCACTGGTACTATGTCTAGACATTTTCCTTACTTGATGCTCCTGGGAAATGTGGGAAGTTGTCAGGATATTTTATCAATTAACAGCTTCAGAAGTCCCTGTGCTGTTATGCTAGTTAGGTAGCAGTGATTTTTCTCCTTCTATCAGTTCAGGTCGTCTTGCTGCCTTGGCAAAGGCTTTCAAACAGACCAGAAATTACCTGCCGATAGTTTTAAAGGAACCAGACATCTCTTCTGGTTCCAACTTACTGCAACGTACTAACTAATGATCTCACTGTCTACCATTTTTCCATTGTGTAGTTCAAAGGAGCTGATCCATTTCTGCTAAGTTTTATGTTTAAATCTCATTTCAATTAGATGAACTCTTTCGTTACAAGAAATAGATGTTGTCTGAGTTTGGAATATCCCAGTGTAATGTGAATTATATTAGGTAATTTTTCTCTAGTATGTATGTATCTAGCAATAGATATTAAAATAAATTCCTGTGGATTATTCCTTTGGATTTCTGTATCCTCAGAACTCCTATCTCAGTTTCTTCATGCTTGACTCTCTCTGAATGAGAGAAAAGCCTGTAGGGCCTAAGTAGGCTGGAAGCTTTATAGCCACTGTTTGAGCAAGGTTTGAATCCCTGTTTCACTGCTTGTCACTTGCACCTTTTTTGTAAATACTCATACAGACTAGACTTTATATTCAAAATCTCCTCTGGTCCCTCTCCAAAGCAGATGAAAATATGTGAAAGGAACCACTGTTTCTTGAGGTATTAGAATTACAGAGATAGAGTGATCTGCAAAGAATTACAAAACATCATCCTTACTTTCCAGTTCATGATATTCAGCAGGTTATAGAGCATCAGTAACATGAGTCATTGGTCATTTTGTGTGCTTTCTGCACCATATCTGTATGGCTTGTCATGCAGCATATGGAGTGCCACAAAACTTGCTGCTTTTGAGGACTGCTATGTTGCGTTATGCCTGCTAGCATAATTAACACTTCTCTCATCAATCTTTCCATACGAGCAAATAAAAGTCATCCAGACCAGCTTGTCATAAAGTAGACAGCTCCTTTAATATCCATAGGAAACTCTGTGACCATCCTGAAAGCTAAAGATCTATTTTGTCTTCAGTGCCTGAAGAAATCCCAAACTGAAAATAAGCCAACTATGTGCTTGGGAAACTTAGGCTTTACCCTCATGTTCCCAGAATGTTGGGATTTTTTTCAATCTGAAGAACTTTGGCCCTGATGCAAGAGTCCCCAACAGAAGTATAAGTTTAATTTTTATAGTATTGTGAGTGAGAGGTAAGATGCTACCAGAATAAAGAGTATGCCGGAGGAGAATAAATATTTTTCTTGCAATCTGTAGTATTTCTTTACAGTTGTCAATAATTTCACTACTCTACAATATTTTTAGGAGTTATCTTCCATTTCAAAAAGTAACTGACCGTTTTCTGGGTCCCTGTTTAAAAATACCTTGAATTGCAAGAGGCAGGTTTTGATAGCTCAATGTTATTATTGTTATTTATATTCAATTTGTTTCAAAAATTGTGATTCAGGCCCCCTAAAGTCATTACACTGGCTTAAAAATAATGAGATTAAACAATAAATACATATGCACTTCCTGTTGTTTGCTCTGTAGTCTGTGGCTTTAGAAGCTTTAGGGTGCAGTCAAATTGTGTTTTCAGGCATTTGTCTGGACCATAATGGCTAAAAGTTTACTATTTTATTTATATGAAACCTGAGATCCTTAGAAAATTAATGGATTCCAGCCAAATTTAAGGGCTCTTAAAAAAAAGCAATGACCATTCTGAGACTCGCATATAATGTTGAGAGCATTTGCAAAAGTGTTGTAGGCAACTGGTTACTCCTATCACTAGTTTCCTTAAGTGCAGACACAAACTGCTGTTTTAAGGAAGGAGTGTAAATAAGTCATTTCAATGGATTTACAGAGAGGCTCAATGATATGCAGGACTTGGCATTTCTTCTGACTTATTTTCAGCTGATAATACATGTTTTTAAACAGTAACCAAACTCAGACTATCTGATAGAAATAAATGAGTGTCCTTCCTTTTCCAGGTGTAAAGACCCTCTGACTACTTGCACAGCAACTTTCCACCCCCATTTTCTTTGTACTCTAAAAAAGGCAGAAACAAAAAGTGCTTTTTTCAAGCATTCTGATCTTTTAACACGGCTTCTATGATTCATGCACTGTGTATTTCACTGCACAGAAAAGCTCGTAAAAGAATGTAAATGTATGTGGTTTGAATGCTGGGTTGAAATAGAAAATACTCTATTTCACTGAATAGTAGGATAATTACTACAATAGTGCATCAGATTACTATAAAAATACTTAATGCTCCCTGCTGCATACATAATGTTTTAGTTAAATTATCTACTATGTTTATATTATAAGCCAAGAAAGTCGTACATATAAAACTTTGCTTGTTTGAATAATAGAATTTTCCATTTTCCAGTCAACATAGAATAAGAAATTTATCACTGATTGAAGTTCCCAACTAAAGGAAAATTATAGTTTGGGGTGAGAAATCTGATTGTCAAGACATTTTGACAGTTCAGTTCAAGCAAATGCTGCATCAATTACGTGTAGTTATTTATTGAATAGAACTATCGAACTGAGAACCAAGGAGCAGGAAAGGAGCATGTGGTATGTTTTTAACAGCTCTTTAATATCCTTTTTGCACTTAAAGCATCAAAACAGAGGGCCGTTTTTCTTTCAATACAGACCCTTTGGGGAAGAATCACTACTTCCCTGTAGTTAAGTCAAATGGAAGATACACCACATACCAACAATTCCTTCTCATGACACAATTAAAGCTAGGTAGGTCATGCTGCAAGGCAGAAGGGGTTAATGAACTCCAGGTGGCAAGTTGCAGTCAAACCCCATCACCTGGTAGGGCATGCCTTTTGTTCATTTGGCTGGCCAGTTTAGTTTTTGTAACACTGAATTTAAAACTTAGCCAGTTTAGATGGTCTGAAAGGAATCTTATTTAATTTCCCTCCTTCATGTGAAATATTAAGATATTACTTATCACAGCCTGTTTCAAAGCAGCATCACCAGAGTGTGGTTTTCCTGCAGAAACACAGGGAGGTCAGTGAAACTGAAGGTTCGTACCATAGGGTAGATTTTGACCTAAGATAGAGGTTATCTAGATCCTTGACATGGGCTTGATGGCTTGACTGGTAATGTCATTCTGTTTCTGTCACAGCACAATTTCTAAGTCTTTATTTCTCTCCTGGAGACAGTCAGATGTGCATTTCCTACATAGGGAGACAGGAAAGCTGCTCTTGTTAAGCTTTTAAACAAGCATTTTCATGTCTGTGTTATGGGCATGGTATTTATTGTTAAAGGTGTCTTTTTTCCCCGCCTTGCTAATGGAATACTTTTTACTCAATGCTCACATTCTGTTAATGTAATTATCAATACTTTGATAGAAGAGATCTGAATGCGTTGTCAATCATATTTAAGGTCAGGTCTTCTATAAAATTTCCTCACTTCATAGATATAGTCAAAACATTTATATAACAAGGTCTTTCTGAACTGAAAATGTGTCCTGGTGAGGATTCAGAGGTGTACCATAGAGACTGAAAGAAGCTGAAATCTACGTTATTGTGAAAATCACTGCTGATTTGTCTGCAATACTTGGGCTGGTTCAAGTGTTGCAAAGACAGACTGTGGCCTGGGCTGGCTGCTAAGCTGGACTACATCAGAATTGTTTATAGATTGAAGGAACAGTTTTGGATTTATGAACAGAATAACACTGCTTGGGAATATGTTGCAGAGGAGAGAGTTATGGACCCTTGGCATTGAGATGAAACTGTGCAGAATATGTAGGAATAGTAGAAACCTCTGTTAAGAATAGTGGTGCTGGTTTGAGGTCATGTCATGGGTAATACCATGAAGTGGTTAGTGGAGTTTCTAGTTAAAAATGCAACTCTCTTTGAAACCTTGGAAGCTGGTCCCAAGAAAAGAAATACAACCAGCTGCTGAAAGCAAATCCATGTCCTTACAAAATCACTGGATATAAGTGAAAGAGAGGAAGGAAATGGATTTAAATTCCTAAAATGGTGACTCTTCAAATACGATTTTTACCTGGAAACAGCAAAATACGTATTTTATTATTTCAGTGCTTTTTTGTTCTACAGGATTATCATCATTAGCATTGCTTGTACAGGACATTCCAGATGCACGGGGTCCCCCAAATATTGTCACAAACCATCTCGTCTTCCATGTGTATACAAGTGAGCTTTGAAATAGAGTAAGGCTGTCATTCTAAAGAATATGATATATAAAATTGGATAATTACATAGGTTTAAAATAAAAGTAGTTCACAAAATGTGTATTTGCTAAGCTGACATTCTAAAGCAAACTTATATTGCTTTTCATTTTGACTCACAGAAATTTGAGTATTAGTAATCTTTCATGCTTCAGTAATAAGATCCAGGTAGCAAAAGCTGCAGATTAGAAGGTTCCAAGAACATTCATGAGTGAGGAAAGCCTTAGGCTGGGTCAGATTTGCTGCCTTCAGCAAAACTATTGCACCTCGTAGCCCCTAAGAGAAAGGTTCTGCTATTGCACCTCGTAGCCCCTAAGAGAAAGGTTCTATGTTTAGTCAGCCATTCTCCTGAGTATCGTTTTAGAAGTTTTCTGCAATTTTTTTACTACATTGTTTGCTTTTTAAAGTTAAGGTAAGTGAGAAGAAGTCACTTTTACCCCAATTTTGGCAATGACAACAGTAGTTGGCTGGGGAGCATTACAGAACCGGGCAGATGTAGCATCCAGTGGTGGACAGACAGTAAAGCATGTTGGTTTTCAGACAGGTAGAATGTCAAATCAAACCTTTTAAATATCACAGAATTAAAGTAGACATAATTCACAAATATCTTTTGAGCATTAAATATATAAATACTTATGTTCTTTTTGACTTGAGGTGGTACTTTTAAGCCTTCTATCTAATTCATGTTCAGAACTTTTGACAACTATTCAAGAGTAAGCTCTACAGAAATCTTGTCTATCTTCAGTGTCTCATGAGTGTTTTCCTTTTTAATTCAGGAACACAAGAAGCCATTGCAATGTGTCTGCATGTAGAGACAAAGCAAGCCGTCAATGAAACCCTGTGTGACGGTTCCAAGAGACCACCACCAATGACCCGTGCTTGCAATACGAAGCTTTGCCCTCCGAGGTACACTGTAATAATGAAATCCTACTGTGGCAAAGAAGTGGTTAATAGGACTTAAATAAACATTAGCTTTCTCAGAAAGGGTTCAGATTGCAGGACTGTGGTCTTGCTTTGGGATGAAATTTCACTACTTCTGTTTTTAACAAGCTTTTGGGGTTGGGTTTGTTTTTTTTTTTTGGTCTTGTTCACTCCTTTTCCACTCTTCACATGTCACTAATAAAATAAGGAACGTTTTCTGAACTAAATCTCTTTCGTGTAGGTATTTGCCGGATTTGGAAAAACAGCCTTGACTCTTCTATGGTACAAGGAGAATTTTAAAGCAATTTCACAAAAAATCCACAATATTTACTTCCTATCCTTACTAAATGAGAAAAGCGAAATCATGATTTGCAGTTATTTTCATGCCTCTTTAGTAGCCCCGCATAGTTCTCATGGCTTCTTATGTTTATCTGGAGATTCTGGGAAAAGAGAAAACCCGATCCAAATCCAAGAAAACCCAGCTGATTTGGTCACTTGAAAGAGCCATATGTGAAATTTTGACATGTACTGCCTTATTTACCCACTTTTGATCTCTGACATCCCTGATCCTTTGCATGTTGTTTCTACGTGTTTGCAGAAACCTCCTCTTGCAAAACGTAGGGAAGAAGTTAACAGGAACAGGATGTTTTATAGAAAACATATACACATTTAAAGGAAGTTTTGTAAATGCAGCAAAGGTCTATTTATATATTTGCATTTATAAATGTAAACATCATCAGATTGCCAACAGGCTGGGTTTTTTTTTGATGAGGAGCATTCTGAGAGTAAATGCTGGAGCTGAATTAATCTGGAAATGACTCTTTATTGCTTTATGGTTCATAGCTTCTGCATTTCCTTGTTACCTGTAAGTTTAGATCTAGTTTGTAATTTTGCGATAGCACCAAACCAAAGGGATGTTTCAGCAATGTCAATAACTACGCCTTCAGTTATGTTCCTGCTGGGCTCTGTTTGGGTAGGATTGCTCCTTCCCTGATCTGAGGCAAGTTGCTAACACTTGAGCTTTGGGCTGTGTTGTTGGAACAGGTGGCAAAGCAGCCCCTGGAGACGGTGCTCGGCTACGTGTGGGGTTGGGATACAGACGAGAGACGTGTCCTGCCAGCAGCCGGGAGGACCTGCTGTTGCTGCTGAAGAGTGCAAAGACAAAAAGCCTCACTCTTTACAAGCTTGTAACCAGATTGATTGTCCCCCAGTTTGGCATGTTGAGGAGTGGCAAGAGGTATGTCTGGGTTACAGAAATAGTTTAAATGTGTTCCTCTGGCTAGGTACTTGAAATTCTCCGGTGTAGTAACACGGAAGGTAGCTCCTAAACTTTGGCATGTAAGTGTTTCAACTGATTTCATTAGAACAAAGTAATCCAGGATCAGAAATACTATTTTTGGCTGCTATGCCAATAGGCAGTCACATCTTGAAGTGGAAAGTCTTTTTTCAGATTTCAGAAGGCTGGATACCAGTTATTGCAGACATCTTTCTGCACTCTGCAAATGCAGTAACCTGGTTTGGAGACCTTGCTTGCTTCCTTCCTTCCTTCTTTCTTTCTCTCTTTCTCTCCTTCTGTCTCTCTTTCTTTCTTCATTTATTTATTTATTTATTTTGTCTCAAGGACAATGTTTCCTAAACTCTCACTAGGTGTGAGCAACAGACTGTGTGTAAGATGTGTGTTTTTAAGATTTCTACTACTTAATTCCATTGAGGTGATATGACTTTTTAACGTAAGTTCTCTCTAATACGTTAGCTAAATATTTTAACTGAAGAGTTTTCTACATGCTGCTTTTTTTGTAATTGAAAATAGATGCCATTTTTCGAGAGAGCATAATGGGGAATAGGGGCTTACAGTGTTTGTGTACACTAGCAATGTGGTGGGTGAGTGCAGATGTGATGTGCAGGTGTACAGACTGTTCTCTTCTCCTTAGTGCTCACGTACTTGTGGAGGAGGGATTCAGACCCGCAAAGTGTACTGTAAGCAGCTGCTGACGGATGGAAGCTTCCTGAAACACTCTGATGACACTTGCCAGGAACCTAAATTGCCAACTACTAAACCATGTGCAAAAGTTGATTGTCCCCCTCAGCTGGTCTTTGGAGAATGGTCCAAGGTGAGCAGCCCTCAGCAATGGTGAATCAAACCCTTCAGTTGCAGCATGAGCTCTAAAGACTTCTGCTTGGGTGCATATGCTGTTTGGAGCAATACCTTCACAGAACAGCTTACAGTTTCACAAGACATGAACCTGGACTAATCTGTACATACAGTTGCTGTGCATCCCTGCCTACAACCAGGCTGATCGTAATCCTCTCCCTGAGCTGTATTTCACGTGCAGAAGGAGAGGCTGTAGTTCATTGCGTGCACTCTACCAGACATGTTTAGCTATCAATTATTTCATAGTAGAGCTTCCAAAAAGCAGTTATTTGCATTATTCTGGAATATGTCCTCCTTCTTTCCCATTTAATGCAAACTCACTACCACTCCCTGGTCACAAGATTTATAAAAGTGAATTCAGAAGCTGTAATTAAAGGTTCATGTAATATGAACTAGGAGAAAGGGATGAGTGACTTGACACAAACTGTTTATAATGTGCTGCATTGTTTCTCTTAGGTACTGTATCTCATTGCTATGTTCTCCCATGGTTGGCCATAAAGAAATACTGTCATGTTATATTAATTGTTCCTGAGTTGTTTGCTGGAACAAATCTGTTTTATATTCTTGTTGTCTGGAAAAGCAGAGAGAGTTTAATGTCTGGATAACACAAGGATTCATATGAAGTAGAGTGTGTGCCTTCTCTCTCAGAAATAAAAAACCCAAACCAAGAAGCTAGTTTAAAATTACTGTGTGTGGTGTGGGACACCAAGTTTAGCCTGACTGCATCCTTCCCTTCACAGTGCTCAGTAAGCTGCGGTGTTGGAATCCAGAGGAGGAAACTTGCCTGCCAAAACCTAACAGCAAAGGGCCAATATGTCACATTAAATGGATCAATGTGTAGTGGTCTGTCTCCTTCACTGCTTGTAAGGTCTTGTCAGATGAATGCCTGCAACAGTAAGTATGTTACAGTTTCTTGTTAATTTGGAAAGATCTATTTATAAAGAAAAATCTGTATACAGGTTAAGTCGTTCCTCTCACTGTACTTTCACAGCGTTCCTAATCTGGCATAAACTGAGTGTCATAGTTACTAGACCTGTAATAACAGGATTGTTTTAATTTTTTTTTCTACCAATCAGAAATAAAAGTGATGATCTCAGGAAGTAGTTTTAGAATAGGCTTTAAGGGTACACACCTCTCTCCCTCACACTTACCTGTATTTGATCTGATTTTTCCTTTAACCTTTACACCATCCCAACTGAAAAAAAAACCCAAACCAAAATGTAAATTGACTATAAATTACAAATGGTATTAGAAAAGATAAGAATCCAGTCCTGGCTTGTCTTTTCACTGTACACATTTGTATACACTGGACATTTCACTTGACATGGTGGAATTCAAAACCTGAAACTCTGAGCCAGTGATAATGTGAGGTATAATTTCTATTTTTGAGAATGAGAATCCCAGTTTCATGAGCTTTGCAGGAATTGATGATGGCACAGACACTCTTCAAAAAATCCAGTACCAAATCTTTTGGGGAAGATTGTCTAAGGGAATTGTATGATTTGGGCACAATTGTTTACAATACTGATGGTAGTTCCACTAATTACATATATATAACACCAATGGAAATACCTTACTGATATAGAGTATGTTCAATCGTGGAGAGTAATTTAGAATAAGCCATTCTAAATGCAGGTCCCTGATATATGAACCTGTGCTCTCCTTTCTTTGTAAAGGAGACTTTAAAGGAGACTTTATTAGTATGTAGATTTGGGGAGCAGGATGCTGAAAAGGAAGAGAAAAAGGAGAGCTGTTAGTTTTGAGGTGGGAGAAAACCAAAAGCCTTCATTGAATAGCCTGGTTTTGATTGCAGCTCACAGAGACAGACATATTTTGACCCAGTTCATAGCGCTGTCAGAGTAGCTACTTTATACGTTTTGAAGCTTTGCTTTAAAAACTATTCACAAAACAAAATAAGAAATAGAATAATTACTGATTCATACATAATATGAAACTGCTTTTCCTGGTCTGCATTTCAGATTAATGTGCTGAAACCCTGAGGTTCAAAACTCCACTTAAAAGCCCTGTGGACCTTCAGGAATGTCCTTGGCATAAGGTTTAATAAAATATTTTGAGCTGCATATCTATCTGAATTTAATTAATTGTGGATAGTTGAATGGCAGTGTAGCTGGGTTGCAAATTGTTTAGCACGGACTGATATTAAAGTTAGATTGTCAGGTTCCACCACAGTGCCAAGAAAGCAGGAGAGTGGACTGTAGAGGGAGTGTGATTGTGCCGGATGGGTGCAGATTGAAGTCATACAAGAGAATCACCGTCCTCCTTATCTCCACAACCCTTTGGAGCAAGCAAGCCCTTGCAGCTCAGAACTGCCTGACAATTCCCTGGCTATGCAACAGGAGGGCAGGGGAAGGCATGAGACATGTCCATATCCACAGTTCCAGCTTGGGTTTAGCAGAAGGGGCCAAGGCAGCAGCAGCAGGGTTTGGATTCGTGGGCACATTCAGGGGGTATTTCCTCCTCCTGCAGCCATGGATTCAGGCTACCTTGAAGGGGCAGTGAATAGAAGGCAGGGACATAGCATGGCCCTAGGATGGGCAGATGAGTGAAGCAGACCCAGTGAAGAGTGGTGTGGGTCATGGTATGCATGCAGTTAAGGGCTCTTGCCTTTGAAAGCAGTGTTTCTAAATGCATCTCCTCAGTTTATGCTTCTGTGGGTCAGATGAGCTCCTTCTTTACTGCCTTATGACAGGGCTGAGGCATTTTAGACTTAATCTTTTTCCCTGGGACTAGTAATCATAGCTGATTTTTTACTTAACAAGCCCTATTAAGTCAGAAACATTTCTGACTGTGGGCTCTGAGCCGTAGGAAGTAACACCAGACTAGCCCTGAGGTCACCAGGACCTGAGGCCCAGTTAAAGCTGCAGAGGACCACTGGAGGTCATAGACACAGATGGATTTGTACTAGGTGATAATGAGGTCCAATGGCTCCAGTACAATCTAATCCGTAAGCAAGCTTTACCTTGTAGTAAAAATCGCTCCCAAACAGTCCATTACCTCAGCAGATGTGAGATTGGATGGTACTAAGGATCGAGAAAATGCATGCTTATGTGGCCTCATATGTTCATCTGACCTTATATATTTATATGGCCTGCCATCCAGAACTCTGAACTTTGTTTCACTCCTGGCCTTGCTCACCAGTAAAAACATACACACCCTTTAGTGTTGAACTGCTAATGAGAGTTAGTGGTCTTTCCTTTTATAAAAAATGAAATGGATGAGACTTGTTAACATATTTATAAGTATGCACTGGTATTAATTCCATGTTGGAATAACTAGTGTAAACAGACCACAGCCTGAAGTATTTTAATTTGTGTGTTTAAACTTACGGTGTCTGTGAGTTGGATTTTGGAAATGGAGGATTTAATACTGGAATGCTTCCCTAAAAATAAATATTTTGGGCCCAATAACTTATTAAAAACAGGATGCTACTTTAATAATTTTAGTAAACTGAGTGCTGAAGCAATTCATTTGTTGTATCATGTGAAATGGTTGAGAGAACCATGTATCTGGGTAACGAGTATCGATTTAAAAGCTGTGTAATTATGAAACCATGATATTCCCCACAGGTCTGAACTCATTACCCAAAACATTGAAAATAACCATTTTGTTTTATAAGCATAAGAATACACTCTAGGGTGTAGTTCATACAGCGTACACACTTATTGAATGCTTGAAGCATTTAGCTTTTCACCTATTTCTTCACAGCGTATTTGAAGCACATGTATGGAAGAAGCATGCAGTTTTTCAACTAGCATTTGTGTGTCATCACTGAAGTTGTCATTTTATTTACATACCTACCAAGTGGATAGTGGTACTGATTTCAGATTCAGGCGCACTGAGAATCATTTCGGTTTGTGTGTCCGTTTTTTGGCTCATCAACTCAACTCATTCTGCAGGCTCCAAGTTTTTGATTTGTCACATGCCAGGAGGCTGGGTTACCAAACACAATTGGACTGTTTTCTAGCACCGGTGTGGAGTGTTTCCCAACTCTTCCCAGATGGCCAATTTCATCTTCCATAGAATGAACTTGGGGGGGTGCTTGCCCTTGATCTGAGCCTCCTACAGTGCTTTGTTGCTCACCTACCTAGTGTTTTCTCACCTAGTGTGAGATGAATTCTACTGATCAAAGTGGGACACGGTAGCTTCCAGCAGTGAGTCAACACAGTGGTATCCAAAGCATTGCAGTCATTCTCGTGTTGTCTCCAGTGTGTCCATCCAGCCACTGCTAGGAAAGCCTGCCTGTGGTGGGGTTCATTCAGGCTGCACCCTAGAAACCCTTCAGTATCCAAGTTCCTGCTGTACAATGCAGGAGAAGCTTCATAATACTCACTGTCTCCATCCTCAGTCTGCGTGAAGCTTAATGCTGTTATTGTCTGCTTTTGCCAATTCATCTGATTACTATATTCAATCTCTCAAAATTTTGACTTATTTCTCTCTTTCTGTCCTTCCCTCCCTACTTTCTTGGCACAACATTGTAAGCAACTCATCTTTCAACCCAAAGAAATTATGCTCAGCCAGTGATTACAGGGTGGCTTTGCTTGTTGCATGTACTGTGTCTTCACTGACTGTTTCTTTCACCTCCTGTGTCGCTATCAATTTGGCTTGACTCAACCAGACAACCAGCATGGCCAGCCAATAATTTAAATAACAGTCAAGGGGAGCCTTACTTTTTTGGATAGGTTTTCTTTTATTTAGGTCATTCTGCACACAGCAGTGTCAAATGTGGGAAAAGTGATAGTATTCAATTTTTTTCCATTAAATTTTTCCATTCCCAACATGCCTAGCCTTTCTGAGGCAACAATACAAAATATATAGGAAACATAATCATATAAGATTATATATGATTATATATATGATATAAATTAATATAAGACATGTATATATCCATTTATATATGTGTGCATCATCTATGTCCTTTATATAGGTACGTATTGCCTATATCTTTTTATTGTTTGGAGATATGGGGAAGAAGCAATAGAATTCTTGGCCGGAGCAGGGGAATGTTACGGTTTCATGTTGTTCATATTTTTGCATTTTTGTGACTGAGATAAAAGCTCAGCATGTTGCAATCTGACTTGAGCAAAGCCAGGAGAAGCTCTGTCAAGCATTCTGTGAAAAGCAGATTTGTAAGCATGAGTGCCAATGATTAGATGCTTTTCAACACTGTGTTTTCTTTCAGAGATTAAACCAAAGCTTCCAGAGAAGTATTCCGCTCACGGACCTCAGATTGTCAGTATTCACCGAGTCTACATTCAAACAAGACAAGAGAAGCGCATTAATTTTACCATAGGAAGCCGAGCCTACTTACTTCCGAAAACATCTGTTGTAATTAAATGCCCTGTACGGAGGTTCCAGAAATCACTTATCCGGTGGGAGAAAGACGGACAACACTTACAAAACTCTAAAAGGCTTGGCATCACTAAGTCAGGCTCGCTGAAAATACATAGTCTTGAAGCTGCTGATATTGGGGTGTACCGGTGTATTGCAGGCCCTGTGCATGAAACATTTGTACTCAAACTCATTGGTACTGACAACAGATTGATAGAACCACCAAATCTGAGAAAACATACCAGTGTAGCCAGTAACACTGATCACAATGAGGCCAACAGCTTTGGGGCTAAATGGCATAAAATGAGCAAAATGTGGCAAATGTGGAGTAAGAAGAATGAGCTTTATCTGGGTGACAGGCAAATAAATGATCAGCCATTTCTGCGAAACCTTGGAACCTTTGGGAGTAATTCAGCAGAAGACTTCAGCTCTCGTGAATTCAAGAATAAACGACTGGAGGCAGCAGTTCTCCAAGGAGCCTACAGCATGGACACTGCACAGTTTGAAGAACTGATAAGGAACATGAGTCAGCTCATTGAAACTGGAGAAGTCAATGATGACTTGGCATCCCAGGTCATTTACCAATTAGTTGCTGAATTATCTAAGCCTCCACAACCAACTACTGAAAAATGGAAGGTGGCCCAGGATGAGAAACATGCCTCAAAACTCAAAGGCAAATCACCAAATGAATCTGAACGTTTCAGCACAAAAGCTGTTGATAAGTTAATGTTTGACCAGAAGGTCCCAGTTATTATGAGGCAAAAGGAAATTCCCCGAGTTTCCCTCAACAAAACAGTAACTGTACGAATTGGAAATACAGTTTATCTGACCAAGAATACTCACACTGTCAATCTACTGTGTGAAACAGCTGGTATTAGTGAAGTGAAATATACTTGGACAAAAGATGGCGAGACATTAAAAGCCTCTGAGAAGTAAGTAAATATCTTTTATTTTTGAATGACTTATTATGTTGCTATCAACTGTAAAAATCCACCCTGCTGTGCAATATCAAAAAGCATACTGTTGTGAAAATGAGATAAGCATGAACCCTGTGCCTTCCTCCTATTTAAGTAATTTACTTTTTTTCTTTCAAGTGTCTGTCATGTTGTTTGGCTTCACTAACATCCATTTCTACACTATTACGTGAAAGGGTTGCCTTTTTTTGCTAGGTTTGGATGTTTTACCTGTATTTTGTGATCTGTCTTAATTATTTCAGCTGCATCAGAAAAGGAACAGATTTATACTCCAGAAGCCTACTGGATTCATTTAGATAAGAGATATAGTGGGAACACATTAAAAACTTGTGCCGTCTTTTAATAGATGAAAAGTCTTAGTTCTTACTCATTCTTTCTCCTGAAGGAGGGAATACATCACTGGTACCCTCACCATCTTTCAGCACAGTAAATCTTTAGGTAAATGTACCTGCGTACCTTCAATTTAAAAAGAAAGAATGAGATTTTATGCTTGGTTTTCTTTTTCCCAGTACTGTAGAATTTACAAGTATTTCTATTGAGGAGAGTGGAATACAAAATAATAAAGCACCTGTACTACCATCATGTTGGAGAACTATACCTGAAGGACAAGTACAGCAAGTGTGTTATACTCAGATATTTGCTCAAGACTGAGCAAATACTTTTACTTCATTGCTGATAAATTAAAAGCTCACCTGATGATATTAGCGTTAACTTCATGTGTGAGCTCTTGGAATTAGAGCTAGCTCTTGAGTAATGAAAAAAAAATGATTCTGAAATGATAAAGGTGTTTTTGGCTATTTCTCAACATACTTAACTGATTAACTGCGCTGCCAAGAAAAATACACTTCTGCAGGGCTATCAGTTAAAGCAAAGACATCAAAACTAAGCCATGTAAAAAAGCACAAATGTTTTTGGAACCATATAGCTCCCACTGGTTATGTTTATTTTGCAAAATACGCATAATTTGCCATTAATTTGTTGCAAGTGATACTCTCATTTTTTGGACATGATGGTGTTTTGTTTAGTCACGTGTGTCTGTGTGATTCCTAATGTCGACTTCCATAAGTTGCCTTAGACAGATATTCTTGCTCCTAAGGGATACACTGGCAAAGTGGGTTTCTTTCCTATTTTTTCACAGCCAGGTTTGTTATACTCAAGCCCATGTGCGTGTGAACTCAAAGGCCAGTGATGTTAATAGCATTACATCTGAAAAGGAATGTGAAGAGGCAAATGGGCTGTTTACCTGTAGGTGGCCACACTTGAGCCATGCAGGAGATGACTTGTTTTGTTGAGACACAAGTAGTTTTAATATGTTTTTGTGTATCTCTTTTGTAAGTGTACTCGGAATGACAGAGCTACAGGTTTTTTGAACGTAATGAGTGTTTGGCATAACTCAGGTTACAAGGGGGAAAAGCCCAGGCAGCTGTTTTCAGCCTCTTCCCCAGGCTGGGATGCTTGCTTTCCTATATTGTCCCTCAGATAGCAGGCAAGATATTCGAGATACCTGTGAGGTTTTGGTGGAAGACTTTAGCTTTAATAATGACAATATTAAAAACAAAATGAACCAACCAAAACAAACACCTCTTTCCCCTTCTCCTCTCCCCACCCCAAAAAATTTAAAAAAAAACACCAAAAGCCACCCCAAAAGACCGCAAAGCCTACAGTAATTTGGAAGTCAAATTAGACCATACATCTGTAACTTCCCAGTCCTGCTGAAAACAAAGCTTGCTCTGGAGAGATAGATTTCTTGCCAAGCCTAATACTTTTAACTGTGGTAGTCTGATTTATTCATGCTGCTTCTCCTGAGGGGTTCTGGTTTGCAGTAGCAAACTCACTGTCCCCCCAAGGGCTGCAACTAGGACACAACTTTGTAGAAGGAGGACATCTGAAGAATCTTCCATGCATGTATCTCTTAGTGCTTCCCTTTGTCGCCAGAGAGGAGGCAGAACTGTTACTGCATGCATTGGTCTAGAATTGCAAACCCTAAAAAGCAGTTTTGCTGCTGTATCTGTAACTCCTGCAAGAAGATTCAGCTGGGTTTGCCCCAGGGTGGTAACTCTGCTCTTTCCTTGAATATTGTGCAGGGTGATCCTGGACACTGTTGGAAAAGTGCAGATTCAGAGTCCTACTCAAAAGGAACTTGGTACATATGGATGCCTGGTGGTTAATGACTTTGGGTTTGATATGGAAACATCACTGATATCGCGTGCAGGTAAGACTGTAGCAGCCACAGAGTTGAACATGGTTTTGGGTTTTGGTATTTTGTTTGGTTTTGTGGTTGGGTGGTTTTTGGATGGGTTTTGTTTTTTTTTGGGGGGGAGGTTGTTTTTTGGTTTTGTTTGTTTTTTACATATATATGTGTATTTAAGCACCCATCCCCACTCCAATGTGAAATAGCTTCTTTGGTTGGAAATCCCTGAAACTCTGCCTGATTTAATAGGTAGCAGTAAGATGGTACTGTTGCCCTAAAACACAGCAGGTGTGAACTCAGTCCGCTTGTATCAATCCCACCTGTATTTTCTGGCCGTTGTTTTGCAAGCTGTATTCTGTTCCAGACACAATGAATTTACATTTAAAAGTCAAATAAAGCTTTTAAAACTGGTTATTCCTTTAATTTCAAAGAGATGCCTGTCATCTTGTCCTCTGTGTTAAATGTCACAAATCTGGAAGCCAGCAGTCTCTCGGCAGTGGTTGGAGGTACAATTGCGGCAAGAACTGGAGCAAATATTACAGTTGAATGTCCCATGAAAGGTAAGAAAGAACTGCACTGTATTTCCTTGTAACGCTGAAATCAGAAGTTTACCTTACATCTTGAAAGAAATTACCAGTGAAGGCAGAAAATCATTGATCATTAGTCATGCTTTTATTAGGCATGTCACCCACACCAGCACTATTTCTTTTCTGTCACTTTAATTTATACACATATGTATATGTTCAAACAGACTTGCCTTTAAAAATACTTTTCTTTCCATGGAGTTGTCTGAGGCTCCACTAAAGAGCTTAAAGCCCACCAGAGTGAATGACTATCTTGCAGCAGTAGCAGGCATGGCCAGCTGACTTGCTCATCAGAGAACTTTCCTTATCCCTATTTGAGGTGCACATATGTCTAGACTGTTGTTAAAACCAAAAATGAAATCTCCAGCTGTAGCGTAATAGAACTTTAAACCTGATGGTGAAGTAAACTTACCTTTTAGAGCCATCGGTCTGCAGCTGCAGTAAGGAAACAAAGACAAATGCCGAGCCATGAACATACAGATATTTTCTAGCTCAACATCTGTGGAGGGGCATTAATGTTAATCAGAAGCCCCATGCATTACGCAGATCACAGCTTCATTTTATTTTCTACTCCTTTGTTGGAAAGGTACATATTTTTAATCCCATCATTGCTATCTGTTACATTTAAATTGTAAGATTTAACTCACAGTGGTAATATTCTGTCAAATATTTAATAAGCCAAGGTCAGCCTTTTGTACCTTGTTGAAGAAGGTATATGAAAATTGCCTTGAAGTGCAAAGAGAGACTTCAGAGAAGCCAGTCCATTCACATTCGTATTGCTGGGGGAGTGCATATCCAAAGGCATGTTGATACTGAACACGAGCAGTGATAGAAATATATGTATGCAAATAGTTCTGCATACAATAGTGGCGCCAGGCTGATATATATTAGGACATGTGGCTCTGCTGCTCACTGCTGTACCAAGGCTCATTCTTTGATGAAGTAATATTTTCCAACTATAGTTTGGCAACTCTATGCGCAACTGACCTACATCTCAAATTCAGCAGAGAGTTAGTGTCACACTGTTAATATTAATATTGTTAGGATGGGTAAGCAGTTACCAATTTAAATATAAATTAATATTTTCACATGGGACTGTAGATTTCCAAATGTTTTAGAATTGTGTATATTCGTGAGCCAAACTTTAGCTATGCTAAGACACCAGTGTTGACTTAAAAAGTGATTTATCTAATTGCTTTATTTCCTGTCATTGCCAAGGAAGTAAGTATTACTGTTTGTGAATAAAATAGAGCTTGCATGTCTTAAAATGTCACTAAGCCTAGAAGCAAAAAAACTGATGCAATGATGTAAGCAGTTTTTCTGTTCTCATTTCCTTAATGAAAAGTAATAAGCCACTGACTTCAGAAGATTGAACTTAACAGCGTTTTATGCTAATACATATCTGTCTGATAGGTGGGACCCCAACATAAGTCCATTTGTGGTGTAAGAGGATGAGAACTTTGTGGAAGCTGATAGAACATTATGTGAATTATCAGACAAGAAAGAGTTTGAATCAGAAGACGCTAATATTTCTATGCATTCTAAAAGTTCTGTTCCTTCAAGCAGGCAACATGAATCTGCATGGGTCCTTTTCTCCTCAGCAGCCATGTTGATTTACAGTAATAACCTTTTGCCTTCTTGGAGTAATACCACTGTAAATCATTACAATTAATATCTAGAGTAAAAATGCTATTGGACAGTGATGGATTGTGACTGTCAATCATCTGGGGTTCTCTCAGAATGAACTGTAAAAGTAATTATAAGAGAGCCATTCTTTTAGTGTCAGGGAGACCTTGGCTAGATCTGGATCACCTTTTCCTCAATGCCATTCTTCCTGAATGCTCAGAAAGAAGGATGTGTTTTCTCTGTGGATGACAACTTCTCTGCAGGTCCTGAGTGAGGTGTAGCTATATAAGACTTCTTGTGTTCACATTCTGCTACATAGTTATGCAGGATCCTTCTACACAGACATTACTCGTGCAGATTTCTCAGTGGCATCAAGCAGATGTATCTGATCTGTTGGACTCTTGCTAGCTCATAAAACAGATCTCCATAAGAACCATCTAATGGAGAAGGTGTCTCTATGTGTGTGAAAGAATATTAGTGCCATGCCACTCGGAGAATTCTCAAATTACTTTTAAATTTCTTGACTGCATTGATTTCTGAGGGGGTTTTCTGTAGACTGAAAAACCTGTAATACTTTTTTGTAGTTGTTCAAATGATAGTTTTCTCTATGTATTTAGTTGTACATTTTGTGTCTAGCAGTGTAAGTATTCAGGAATTTTCTTTCTGAAACACATGAAAATTCTGCACCTATGCAAAATGGTAAATTGATGGTTCCTTTAGGAGAGATATCATGCCATAGAGCAGAACTTCAGCTGGAAGTAGAAGTAGCCTGCCCACCAGTCTGACAAAGGCAGCTGGGAAAGGTAGAACAGAGGTGATGTAAGGAAAGATATACTTCCCAGCTTCCTTTGCTGCCTGGCAAATAGCTGTACAATACAGCCTTTAATTATTCAAGGCCTGAAGAGAACTACATATATTCCACTTAAGGGGCCCCGGGTTCATTAGGGCACATTACACAGGACAACTCTTGTTTGATGGTTCTAACGGCAAAGACGTAAGGTTTAATATTAGGTGCAGGGTTAGCCAGCTGACAGCAGGGTTTTTACTTTTTTCATTGTTACTGATTTGGTTCTTTTTACCCCTTTGAAAGTCTGTCTTGCACACTCCAAAAGTCACATTCAGATGGAAAAAAACTTTGAAATGCTAAAGAGGAGCGTATCCTAATAAGCAGAAGAACATCAAAGGAAAGATTAAGAAAAGTTAGCTAAACTGCTGAAGCTAATAGCCTTGATTTCTCTTTTTCATTTATAACAAAACTATTTTTCCACTAATTATAATAAACTCACTTTTATAGCTCCCACACGAGCATGTGCTACAAGATATTCATAACATTCTGGATAGATTCATATTCCGTTCTTACAGCCAAGAGCTTTTCAATCAACACACATGGTATAAATATCAATACTGATTGCTCCAAATTGCTCTTGGATAACATTTATTGTATTTGCAGAAAAGATCGTCTTGTGATTATTACTAAAATAAACTAAAACTGTCAGACTCCATTTATTGTGAAACCTTGAAAGTTCCGAGCTGAAGTAAAATAGGGAGAGATGAAAATATGTATAAAATGTGCGTTGTCTGCCACCCGCTGGTGAGAGAGCAGAAGGGACATACACTGAACTGAGGTTGGTTGCATTGTGTACATTGTATTGCATCTCTGAAATATCTTGGCACAGAGGCTTTTAAAAGTAGAAACTCCATTCTTCATCCAACTTCTGCATTCCTATGAGTATATTTTGGCTCTGTAAGAAAAACGTGTTGATAAAAAATTGTTAGGAATTCACAAAACCTGTTGAATCAGGGTCCATCTTTCTGCACATACGTCTCACAAAGATGGACCAGCTACTTGCTGTCAGTATTGGAACTTGAAACAGGTCCAGAAAAATATCACGATTTTTGATTTTCCATCTGTTCCTTCATTTACCCACGCTATTCCAAATATATCTTTGATGCTGTTCTTTGTCTTCTATGCTTAACCCCTCTGAAGACATCTCGGTGAAGAAAAATAGCAGTTTAATACACAGGATTCTGGCTCTTGGTTTCTTTTAGGACTTTTGCGTGTTTTTCTAAAAGATATTAATTACGGATTTCAAAGGCTTAAAGGAATAAGTACAGACTTATTTTGGAAGAAAGGAATGATGCTATTTATAATTAGTGCAATACAAGGAAAATCTGTTGCTTTTTATTCTTCTTTTTACTGTATGTGCATCTATATTAGTTTTTGTTTGGAACAAGTACAAGTTGGAAGGAGTGAAAGATGTACCTCGAAAGCTTAATTGTGCTTTGCTTTGTGTCTTGTAACAATCTGGGAGCCTGAAAACTGAATTTCTTTGATATGACTACACTTAAAAGGTGTGCCTGGGGCCTCTACCTTTTACTTTCCACATACTAATGGCCAGTAAGTCCAAGAGTCCAGGCAAGATTCACCAAGCAGCCCAAAGCAACACTCATCCAAACACACATTGGGTGTGGGTTTGGGATCTCGGTACATACTATGTTTATTTTGAAGTACACGCCTGTTGCCCTCCACTACTTGCTAATGTAGATCTAGCCTACAGAGTTTGTGAGGATAAAAACATAGAATCATAAGTCAACTAGGTTGGAAAAGACTTTTAAGACCATCAAGTCCAACCATGACTCTAGGACTGCCAAGTCCACCACTAAACCATGGCACTGAGGGCTACATGTTTTTTTGAACAGTTCCAGGGATGGTGATTCCACCATTTCCCTGGGCCACCCTCTTAGTGAAGAAATTGTTCCTAATATCCAGTCTAAACCTCTCCTGGTGCAGCTTGAGGCCATTACCTGTGTAGTTCTTTAATTCTGATAAAATTCTGTTTTCCAAGTCCTTGGGTATGTAGCTACTTCATGACCAGAAATGTCTGGGTCCTTGGTGATGCAGCATGGCTATTCAGTGAAGGGAAAGTATCATTACTACCAGTTAGGCAAAACAGTCTCTGATAACAGTGCTGAATTGTGGAATTGCCCTAATGCACACCAACCAAGTCTCTGTTGGGGGTCGACTACAGAATTGGCTTTAGCAGTCATTTCTGCGTTTAAGAGGATCTGAGTTCATACTCTTTAGCTGCCTAAGCATAGATGCCTTATTTTAAATGCCTGATTTTGAAAAATATTAGCCTTAACCTTCTGCAGATGGAAAAAAGATCAAGTTCTGTTTGAGCTGACAGCCAGAGAACTAAACAGGACCTGACAGAGTTGTAGAAAGAGTGGGATGGGATGGGGTCTTGCTTCAGGAGCCCCTCTAAGGAGACCACCAGATGTCAGTAAGTATATCTAAATCCTGCCAGATGTTGCTACCACCTAGGAAGAGAGGCTGTTGCGTGGCTGGG